ATTGTCATCAGTGAGTTTATACCTCACAACTGACCCAGTTGAACTCCACTAGTCACTGCTTCTCAGTAGAACTCTAGGAAATGCCTCTTGAAGCCAGTGACTAGTGAGCATATGTTGATTAGTATCAGAAGGAGCTTTGTGGAGATTGAGTCAATTAAAGCTAGACCACCATGCAGACTGATAGGTCCTGGGTTCGAATCACGCTGGGTGGGGTTGTGGATACGCATTGCTGAGGCATCCCACAATAGGACGAAACGGCCGTCCAGTGCTTCCAGGTTTTTCATGGTGGTCTAGCTTTAATTGACTCATGATATCAACTGTTGAAATTACTACAATCTCCATAAAACCCCTTCTGATACTAATACATATTGGATTGAGTGAAAATTTCAACTATTCGATTAAATTTGATGCAACCAGATAAAAAGATTTATATATTTACTCCTCAGGAAACAAATTAACTTTAAAATATTCAGGTCCTTGATACTATCTTAATTTAATAATTAAAGAAACTTTCTACAGTAGAGGTTTCTTAAAAGGCGCTTTTTTCATACGTCACTATAATAAACATTGATTCAAAAGAAGAATTATATAACTAATGGTATAGATAACATAGTGAGCTTTTCAAAAGTTTAGACATAAACTAATTCTTAGAAGTTGAATTCATGCATTATAATAATGAATACAATTAACTGTTTCCCAAATGCGAAAATTAAGATGAACGTATGGATTCCTTTAACTGACGTTTTTATGAAATCCCAATAAAATATAAAGTGATAATGTAGTGATAGAGAGCAAAAGTGAGGACAAGGGAATTATATTTAGCACAAGTAAAATAAAAAAGCCATACTCTAATACGTCATTTGCATAACATTCATTAATTGTCTTAGACTTAATTGTTCCTGCATTTCCATACCAATTGCATTCTAGTCCCATTCTTCCCTTCTTGATTTTCTCAATATTTTGCTACCAGACATTATATTCCTGACTCGCGTTATATACTAATTATGTCAATATAAGTATCACACACAACAATAAGTTTATGAATAGTTTAGCTTCACTTACCATATTCTTATTACATAAAACAACTGTTAATACACATTTTAACCATCATTAAAGTGACTTAAATAAATTATTAAGAGAAATGTATATATTATGGCATCTTCATGGAACAATAATACCATTAAATGCAAATAAAGTGAGTGAATCAATAATGTTAATAGCAGAACTGATTGCCAAACCCTAATTGAATACACTTCATAAGATAAAACAGTTAGTCATCTGAATTAAGATATACAAAAAAACATTAACTTTTCATAAATATTACCCAGTTATAACTTGTGTGAATGGATAATGGCTCTTTTTGACGGATATTATAAATTAATTGTGTATCACCAAACAACAAAACTTGAATATCCGAAGTCATGGTTGTTCATGTTAAAAGTAAAGGATTCGGCTAAAAGAATAAATAGGTTTCTATAACCTTATTGCGCAGTTGTGTACTCTTTTGTATATGTCAGTAGTCAGAACAACAAAACAAAGGCGAATATTTTAACTTGGTGTAGTTTTACTTGTATTTTCCCATTTTCTATTTAGAACTGCAATCGATCAGATTCTTGTTAGCATATGTTCATCCTGTGCTAAATGCCTCGATATAGCCTTCAGTCACAAGCTTTCTAAGGAGAGATGGATAGTGGCTAGCAGTGGAGATCAGGACGCTTGTTTCGTCCTATTTGGGACTCGTCAGCTGGATGCACCTGTAATTCAGAGTTGATGTTCATTCCAAGACTCTGAGATGCAGGCACACCCAACAAACGAGTCCCAAATAAGACACAGTCCACTTCTTTGATTTCACTGCTAGCCACTATCTATCTTTGCTTTAGAAGGCGATTATGATTGAATACGGTATTCTGAAGCACAAATTAATCAGACGTTTAAATAATGAATGTCTTTTTTAGTTTTTAATGAATAAATTGTTGTATTTGTCCGGAAAACTGGTCTTAATAGATCTTCAAACAAATTCTCAACCAGTTATAAATAAATATGTTTGAACCATGCATTTAGTGAGAATAATTTTTGATTGATTATAATTTTACCATTTCATTATAAATACCTAATACTTAAACTGTAAAAACTCATAACCTAATGATACTATCCCATTTACATCAAGTTCAAAATACAATCTAACAGATTCCAATCAAACTAATATTTCGCTTCATACATTACAAATTAATTTAACAACAAGTATGTTTAAAATAAAACTCACGACGATTCAACATCATGTTTCCTTCAGTATTTTTGATTGGTTTACCTACATTTGTAATATTTTTTTCACTATTTCCCATTATCTTCATCATTATTACTTACTTACTCTTGTTACTCCTAATGGAGCATAGGCCGTCGACCAGCATTCTCCAACCCACTCTGTCCTGGGCCTCTTTTTCTAATTCCACCCAATTTTTGTCCATTTTTTTCATGTCTATCTCCATTTCCCGGCGTAATGTGTTCTTTGGTTTTCCTCTTTTCCTTTGGCCTTGAGGATTCCATGTAAGGGCTTGTCATTGTGACGCAGTCCGTAGCTTTCCTCAATGTGTGTCCTATCCACTTTCAGCGCTTCTTCCGCTGGGATCTGGTTTGTTCTTTCCCACAGTTGGTTGTTGCTAATAGTGTTTGACCAACGGATTCGAAGTATTTTGCGTAGACAACTGTTAATAAACACCTGTATTTTCTGGATGATGGTTTTCGTAGTTCTCTAAGTTTCCGCCCCATACAGTAGAACTGTTTTGACATTTGTATTCAAAATTTTGACCTTGGCGTTGGTTGACAGTTGTTTTGAGTTCCAGACGTTCTTCAGTTGTAAATATGTTGCTCTTGCTTTACCGATCCGCGCTTTCACATCTGCATCAGACCCATCATGTTCATCAATGATGCTGCCCAAATATGTAAAGATTTTTACATCTTCCAAACCTTTTCCGTCAGTTGTGACTGAATTGGTGCATGCTGTGTTGCTATAAGAAAAAAAAGATGTCCGTAAAATTTGTTCTCCTGATTAATCTATTTTAATGAATGTAAACCGGTAAAAAAATGTAGCAGATTAATATATAGTTATATTACTGTTAGTAACAATAATTAGGATACTAACAAATATGTAAAATTACTTGTCAAAAATGTTTCTAACAGATGATTTATGTTCATAACCTTTCTTGTAGATTTCGTAGAAGTTTTTTTCTCATTTTTGCTTAACTTTACCATTTTTTTTCTGAGGTAAAATTATAACTATTGTGCTATTGTTTTGTTTTTTGTATTTTAAAGTTTTCTGAATCTAATTTCTTGTAAGATTAGTATTATGTTTTAATTTCTTATGAACTGCTATTACTTCAACAGTTTGACGAATTATTTTCATGGAATCTTTAATGGACATTCTATCCAGTGTTTACGTTGTTTCATCAAAGGTGTCTTTGAAACATTTCTCGTGTATCCTAGGAACACCGAGTAAGTAATGCAGTTGTTACGAAACGGGTACTAGGTAAGGATAATAAATCAATTGATGAAGTAGTGGAACTTTATCAGCTGAGATGGCTGGGACATGTGTTATGTATGCCCAACCACCAACTGCCCCGACTTGCGACGTTTCATGGTGTAGAAATAGGTTCGAAAAAAGCTAGGAGCGGCCATACCAAAGCATGGCACAAATCCATGGAGTCACTGACAAGTGGACTGAGCCACGTTGGTAGGTGTAGACTAACTGGTAAGGGTCCACGACACTACGGCAACCACTGGTTAGAAACGTTGAATGACATGGCTCAAAATCGTTTGCAATGGCTCAGGTGCATCCACTCTTTGTGTTCTCTCGAATCGTAACTTTCTGAATTCTCCTTGTCGCTTTTTTTTTCTTTCCAAATTTATTTCACTGGATTATACTCCTTGAATAACATCTTCGAACCTTAATCTTTCCGATTACTGCTTATACTTTTACTACCTCCACCACTATGGGATTTGAATCAGCAATTGTATCTCTGTGCTAATGTGGTGTAGCAACTCGAACTGATATAAGCACGTATAAAGCTCTACGTTGTTGGTGATTGAACTGACTTCTTTAATCATGTTAGTGTTGAACTTGTAATGACTGAACTTTATATGAATTGATTTAATTTAGATTGTGAAGTTATATCTTAAATCAATCGATAGTTTTGACAGTCAAGTCCTTTCATGGGAATATATTTCTATAATATTGTAGTAAACGAATACCTAGGTGGGGACAAACAATTTATCGTTTATCATAAAATTACAGAATATTTTCATAAAATATAAGAACTATACATTGAGTGCTTCATTTGTAAATCTTTCATCAATTATCCTTTACATTCTGTCTGATTCTTCCAATTCACAATTCTTTCCTTTTCATTTTCCTGTTTTCTTCTTACCCTTCTTCTGTCAACCGTTCAACTTTTGACTGATGTAACATACTACTTACGTCTGTCGATATAAGTAGCATACACCTCAAGTATTTGATTTAGCTTATCCAAACATTTATCCAGATTTCACAGAGCTAATCAGTTTAATTCTATGAAGTATCTAGATGATAGGAAATAACTTGTGTAAATCACGATAGAAAAGCATCTTCATCTACTGATTGCGCTGTAGTATGAAATGATATATTGAATTGATGCGAAACTATTTCTGAAGTCGCCACATACAAAATATCATAGGCTATTCTGAAGGTTTTAAATCTAATACCTAAACAGAAATTTAATTTCAAATAGTATTCACCTTAAAGAGTAGTTTTTCCTCTCATCTTCATTCGAATAATGTAATTAAAGATATTGATATACACTGAAGTTCCTTTCTATTGTTACTTATTATCAGTAAAGTTAACAAAACAACAAAGAATAAATAACTAATACCCATTATTTAGGATAAAGTAAGTACCGAAATGGTTTTAAAATAATATTAATTTATAACAATATATTAAATTTTTATATTTGTCCCATCTTATTATTTAGCTGATTCCATCATAACTCAAGATGTCGAAGAAGGAATTTTGGTTCGAATTTTATGCAATGTAAGTAGTGATGAGAAACCTGATGGTGCTGGTCCATTTCGATACGAATGGCGTAATCCAAATGGTACATTAGTTGGAACTCAATGGAAATTAGAATTGGGCCACATCAAAGTACATGAATCAGGCATATATGTCTGCCGTGTTTCATATGAATTTGACAAAAGACAAATGTCCACCAGTTCAGCAACAAAAATAAATGTTATTCCACGTAAGTATTTCTTCATCTTTTATTCTCCATAAATCTAATGTAGTAACATCAATTTTATATTTATATTTCGCCTCTTTATCCTTTGCTATTATAAAAGTACGTTTATTATTGTTTGGATTCAGTTCATTGACTCAGTATCTCGACCCAGCTATAGCATCTGAGCTAATTATTTGTCTCCTGATCCCAACAATAAACTAACATATCTCACACGCTTCGTTTAGTTCATAGCACAGACAAATTACGCATAACCCAAAAGAACTGAGAAATTTGTGGCGTACCTTCCAAAAACTATAAGTTTATCAACCTTTTTAACTATGCCATAACCTACGTATGTCTTTTGTGAACAAATAAAACTAGTTTTAAACTTTATTTCAATAAATATTTAGATAATACACATTCCCTACAACGTCATATTTGTGTTATTCTCAAAGTAGACTTCAGTATCAGAACTAGATAGAATTAATTATGTATTGTGATGTTAAATGTATTAAGTGACATTTAACTTAATATACTTAATAGTTACTATAAAATAAAATATTTGTTCAGAAACAGTTATAGTTTCAGTTTGGAAAGGACAGGAGGCTTGATGACATGTGTTAGTCCTGGTAATGATGGTCTCTCAATTGATCCAACTTTCTTTTGAAAGAGTTGTCGAATGGAGTCTCAACCACGTGCTGAAGTAATGAACTCCACTTATTGATTACTCGATGGGGAAGTCGATAGTCAGCTGACAAATAATTTGTTGTGGGCTTGTGAACTTTTATGGAGTGTTCTCGTAAATTCTCTGTTTTGGAAAACAATAAAAATGAGGGCATATCAGATGCAAATTTATCACTAAGCAATTTGAAAACTGTAATTAAGTCGCCTCTAGTTCTTCGATATGAAAACGGGAATAGTTTTAGTTTGGCCAGTCGAGTATCATATGGGAGCTTCGCTATTTCGAGGATCAGCTTATTTGCCGTTCTCTCAACATTTTCCAAAAGCTTACCGTTCTTTTTTAAGCAAGGGCTAGCCGCTTGTATGCAGTACTCAAGTTTAGTATCCATGATTACTGTATACAAAGTCAAAAATGTTTTAGCGTTCTACGTATTGACCAGAGGGTTCTTAAGCCTTTGGCGGCTATTGCACTGCAGTATGCAGTAGTCTTTTAGTCTTGGCTAACGATGACTCCGAAGTCATTGTACGTCTGGACAACAGGTAGCTTAGTATTATTCATCATGTATGTATCTGTACCTTGATGACCAATATGCATCACAATACACTTGAAAGTATTTATCGGCAACGACCAGGTTTAAGACCTTTCAGATAACTTCTTCCAGTCATTTTGGAGTTCTAAGCTATCACCCTTACATTGTATCATTCTCCAAATCTTGACACCGTCAACAGATAGCGACACTGATGATGATAGGAGACGAGGAAGGTCATTTACATACAAAAGGAATAACAGTGGCCCTAAAACAGTACCCTGAGGCGCTCCATTAAGCACAGTTCCCCACCTAGATAACTTTGAGTCCACCCGTACTTTTTTTTGCGCCCAACTAGGAAGTCTTTTACCCACATCAATAGATTGAATCCAACCCCGACATTTTTTAAAACTTATATAACAGCCGGTTGTGCGGAACTTTGTCAAAAGCTTTGCTGAAGTCATTACAGGTTACGTCTGTAGGTAACTTTTGGTCTTTAGGAGCGCACCAGCTTTCAGGAGCCACTAATAAGTTAGTGAGACAGGAATAACCTATTCTAAAAACATGCTGCTTTTCCGAGGTACTTGTATGTAATTATATTTTTAATAAATTTTCAGTAATGTCTATTCATTCTATTTCAATAAAATATTAGATACGTTCATAAAAAAAAACAACTACCAACTGTACATAAATAAAGCCAAAACAAATATTGATGCAGAATAATATGAATTCGTTATATTTCGTGGTTTCTCATCAGCTGTTTATAATCAATTATGTAGTAGAATTTTACTTTGAGATAAGAAATAGTGTGGAACAATTGACATAAGTGAATGTAAAGGATTGGAATGACAAGCGTTACCAATGATAACTACATGTATATATGCAAGAACAGGTCAGAGGTTATTTGGTGTTAGAATCAAGGAAACAATCAGGATGGGTGGTACAATATTTGAGTGGAGTTCACAGAAAGAGGAAGATAATATAAATTGTGTGACAAATTTTAGAGTTAATGAAGAGTTTACATAAAGTTCATGGAATTAGAAAACTGATAAGATGGGTTACGAAATTGAATAGAATTTGAAGAGTTCACATAATTTAAGAGAATCAAGTGAGTGGAAATGTATGAGTGAAGGAGTGGTTTAAGAATTCAGTAATTGAAGAGGAATATAACACAAACTAAATATTAACAAAATAAAGCTAATGACCAAAGAAGAAAAAAATGGATTACCAGGGTAGTAATAAGTGTATTACTGTCTCCTTTTGAATACATAGATCCGGTTTGAGTCTTTTTTATTGCGATCGCTTCAGCTGTATAGTGAATAAAATAATTTCTAATGAATAAAGAATGACAGTGGAAAAATTACAACGAAAATAATTTGATAGTTGAATACTGTCTTTAAATTTCCAATCGTGACATAATCTTCCAAACTACCCTCTTTTAACTGAGAATCAAAAGTATTTTAATGTATGAGAACACAAGCGGGGACAAACAAATGTATTTTAATCCAAAATTACAGAGATTTTTTGTAAAATGTAGAAATAATACGTTCAGTACTTCATTTGCAAATCCTTCATTAAGTGTGTTAAAACTTCATCATTCTTTCATTGTTATAACAATCACTCTCTTTTTCCGTTCTCTTTGATCACATTTTCCAAACCTCCTGCTGTTAGGCATTAAACGTCTGACTAGTGTTATATACTACATGTATCGACATAAGTAGCATACACCACATTATCGCTACAAAGTTACGTAAAATTGAATTGTTGATTGCATGGTTTGTTACTGTTTTATACTTGATATTAATCAAATTCATCTTGTTTATTTGCATGACAAGCAGACGGAAGAATATGGATTTAATAATAATGAGGATTTAACTGAAACTGAAAACTGTTATTCCGTGCCTAGTTTCTACCAGATAGTGAAAAGTGACTAATAGTTTATTCGTAAATCTCATATAATACATAGAAAAATCTGCAATAGATAATAACAGTGGTTTATGGAGTGAAGTGTATTATCCTAGTAAATAACGAACTCAGGGTGAAAGGAATGTTAATGTCTTTAAGATTTCTTTGCTTTTAATAAAGGCTATACACATTTTCATTGCTGTTTAGTTTCTGAAAACGTTTTTCAAAGAAGCTAAGCATTCCTAACTAATGAAATGTTTGATACAGTATAAGTAATGAAACTTCCCCATTCTCTTTGTATTCAGACCAAACTACGGCCGAACCAGTGTTTTTAAATCTTAGAAAGTAGATCACCTTGTAAACCCAGTATAAGGTGATACAATGACTCTTTATTTTTGGGATTTAAAGAAATGATTTGATAAACAAGCTATACGTCTGATAGTCACCACAAAGAGTTGTGTATCTGAGTACTGTGGAATTCATGGTATTATATGATTGATATACAGTTTGTTTTCTAGAAACATTCACTATGACATTCGATTGACTAACTATGTGGTTACATTGCATCTAAAAAACAACTTCAGAGGTCAATTTACATAAAATTTAATATGAATGACAAAACTAAGAGAAACTTGGAACTGTCCCGCCATTTTAAAACTAAGTAATGTAGTAATCAGAAACAATGATAATATCCCTGTTCAATCTGTTGGCTACAATAGTTGATACTCGTAGAGTAAGAAAAATTCATAACACTTTCAATAGAAAATTTTATGATCTCATCATTCTGTACCAACTTTTATATCCACCCGGGTATAATATATTATTATACTAAGTTCATTACTAAAATGCTTACTTTCCCGATATTTATACATCAACTGATCGAAGTTAATATGTTTCTTAATCTAAATACTTTCGGTGTTCAAGACTTACCATTTTTAAGTTTGAGTTAAAATCATTTAGATATAATGGCGGTAATTTTTTTTGATGAGTGCTAATGGAAATAATAAAACATAATAAGACTCACTTAAAAATTGTTAATCCTTATGATTTCGTACTGATCCAAACGATAACACTTCCTGTTGGGTGCTATGATCTATTTGGATTCAAATAATAGATTGTTGATCAGCTGGTTTATTTCCTCAAGTGGACATTTGTGGTTATTAATGGATCAGCTTGTAATGTCGGTTACTATGTTAGGCCCATATAGCTTATTCTAGCTTCTGGACAGGCCAATTTACCCATTCATCTTGAGTCACGTTTTGACCTTGTTAATTATTCACTTATTAACCCTGACCGTTTTTGTTTGAGTGTATGTGTGTGTACAACTTATGAAATTCATCACATGTTTGTAACTTATTTTTGTTCGACTATAAATTCGATTAACTCTTGGTTAAATGGGGTTGGCTCACATGTCTTCTCCACCGCGCATCATTTCGCTCCGCTCTCTTTTCTTCGCTGTCTTCGCTTCGTTTCTTCGTTCGTTTGTCTCGATCAAAAATTGTACGAAATATACAGATTACAAAAGTCCATTCTCGTATTTGACTTATTTAATTCCGTTATTCACTAACGTGGATTAAGTCGATAAATATATACGAGAATAGTCAGGATGTATATTTCGACAGCAATCATTTATACAATCTAATTGGAGTCAGATAAAGGGCCACAAAAAGTCTAACCCTGATATTTTTCACAGTATGTGGATTATGATGAATGTTAGATGTTATTGAGATCACTAGCCAACCTAAGTAAAACAGTCACTGTAGTCTTCTCTAGTCTATAAATTCAGGACCAAATTATTTAGTAGACGCTTCGAACAAAACATTCAAATTGCCATAGGGAAACAGGTGGAAAAATTCCGTTTTAATAAAAGCAGTAATGAAAGATAGTTTAAATGCCTCTTATGGTATTTCATAGGTTTATTTTTCTGAGGGATTTTCATAAATGTTTTTAAATTGTCTATGACATATATAATGTACCAAGCGTCCCCCTGTTTCGGCTTATAATTCTCCCACTAACCATTTATTTTCTAACGACAATATATATATAATACATAATAATACTTAAACCTCATCTTTTTTGTATGAAACGGTAACCAACTTTAATGTTTAGTTCGCTATGTAGAGAAAAGGCATAAAAACGTAAAATTCTAAAGAAGTAAAAAACTGTATTGTAATGAACGAAAACACAGGTGTGGATAACCAAATTTTTTTCTTAGCAAAGAATTACAGAATCTATTGGTAAAATCTGAGAACAATGTATCAAATGCTTCATTTGAAAAATTCCATCATTTGTCCTTCACATTCTGTATGATCTATCCAAGTCACAATTTCTTTCTATTCCCGTCTCTTTTTTTCTTCAACTTGATCTTCCTAGCCATCTTTCAGGGTCTTCGCATCTGATTGTTATTACGTACTACTTATATCTGTCAACATAAGTAGCGTACACCACAGTATCATCAGAAATTTTAAAACTGATCATAGGATAAAAGTAGCTGAAGTAAACGAGATTAGCAGTATAAATTTGTGGAGGACATTGAATTTTACTGACATCACAAATCGGTTTAAATAAGAAGTTGTGATCGGTAGAGTTCAATCTTGTTCCACCAGAAACAATGGAAGAAAATCGCGCAATATTATGGAATGATTTATGTGAAACATACAGCATTGAATGCCAACACAGTTGTCTATACGTTGAGCATTCTCTCGTCAGACCCGAGGTCTTTGTTTCAATTCCCGCGTGCGGGGATGAGTATGCTCACTACTGTGGATTTACATACTAGGAAGAAACGGTCGTCCACCAGTTCCAGGTTTCAGTAGTTGCCTAAATTAGGTCAGGTCATTATATCAACAAAATGAGATTAGTCGTTGATTTTACATAAATATATCACAAACTCTACAATTGGAATCAGAAACTTGTTGAAGAAATTGAATGATCAGTTTGAACATGAACTTATAGCATTATTATTATTATTGATATTGATATGATTAGACTTTAAATAATGGACTAAGCAAATAATATTGAAACCAGTTAAATAAAATGAGGAAGGACAAACAACCAAGTCATTTTCATGTCGGTGAATTGATTAATGATACTGATAGTAAAATAACCGTATTAATCAATCCACATATTATAACAAACTGTATTAGTAGACGAATATTATTTCTAAAAATACGACTTTACTATGCATAAATGTTTAATGAAAAAGGTCAAACATTTCATTAGAGCATTAATTAGAATTAATGTTCATAAAACAATCCAATCAATATATAATGAGAGATATCATTGAATGTCAAACTGATTATTGACTGAAATATACAGTATTATAAAAATGTATACAGTAACATTTAAACAGTTTCTAAGGGAAAAATGATTCATATAAGTAGCCTTCATCATTTGATTAAGATAACAATGCCTTATGATGAAAAATATTGATTCAAGTTAACATATGAATAATGAAAAATAGTTTAGTACAAATCAATGATTTTATTCAGTCAACCACATATAGACTAAATGTATATGGTATCCTCAAGGTATAATCAAGCTCATATTTTGTATCCAACAACTTTACATATGAATATATGATGACATATTGTATTATGTATTGGAATTAGTACAGTATTTATTGTTAATACTGCTGAAGTTATAGCGGTTCATATTTTGGAGTTGATATTATAGCAATTAGCTCTTTTTTTCCATTTCTGTAATTATTTCCAATGCTAAAACACACAGTGTAAACCTTTGGCAATCTGTTATATCCTTGGTTATACGATTATCGTGAAATACGATTACCAATTTAGATACGTTGAACTAAACAACCAAACTAATGACGCATGAACCTGTACAAGCAGCTTAGAGTTCGTATTGGTCCACTGAGTAGAATAGCCACTCTGTTAACCCAGGCGCTTTAGTCCAGAATGCTAATATCAACCTTCTCCATACCAATCATATCTTTCAAATATTCTTGGTATATATATACAAGTAAAATCAGACCATATCACAACAAGATCATGCCAAAAGTGATTGTGATTTTGAGAAACTTAATGGTCATACAATAAGAATATGCATATGATATTTGTCCATAAATAATTACTAGCGCATATCATTCATTTATTATCGTACCGGATATAACACAATCGTTAATCGGTCGTTCAATATTTATTAAAACATTTTTTGATTGATTAATCATACATGTTTAAAAAAAAAGAATTTATCTCATGGGGGATAATTGTGCACATAATTAACGCTTTCATATTTTTGAAATTAAACCTTTTCTGTGTAGTTTTTGTTGTAAAATAGTTTGATAAAACTAGTTAAAAAGATTCACTCAATTCAAAGTTGGAAAAGCCTTTTCGTCAAAAGAATATACTAGTACAGATATTACCCTAAGAATATCGCATACACAAGACCAAAATCCTTTTGGCTAATAAGCTGACATGCATCATTTAATAGGGATTGTTATGTTAAATTTGAATTCAGCACGTGCCCCATTGTTGTTTTAGATACATTAGTTCCAGTGTTCTGTTGTGATACGCTCAACTTTGGTATGATTATTCGTATTTTTCAATTTCAGTAATTAAAAGATTTTGAATATTAAAAAATATATCTTTCAAACAATACAGCTCATTGTATATATATATAATTGTTGAATTCATGAGTGAATTAAAGCTAGTCCACCACGAAAAACCTGGAAGCACTGGACAGCCGTTTCATCCTAGTATGGGGCTCTTCAGCAACGCACATTCACGATCCCGCCCCCCGCAAGATTCGAACCCAGGACCTGTTGGTCTTGCTCACGAACGCTTAACCTGTAGATCACTGATTTGAGATCCAATGGTGCTATTGTCTAACTTCAACTAATCCATCAAATTGCACGAACATCCACAACTGTCGTGAATGCGCATTGCTGAGGAGTCCCATACTAGGACGAAACGGTCATTCATTGCTTTCAGGTTTCTCATATTGGTCTAGCTTTAGTTGACTCATGAATTCAAGTATTAAATTGCTAAAATCACCATAAAAACTTGTTTTGATAATATATGAGTAAAGTAATAAAGCTGGATACATGTTAAACAAAAACAATAAACTTATTTGATTTTTTTAGCTTAAGTGAAAAGTACAGACATAAAATAGAAGTAGATATCGAAACATAATTTTGTTCATTAATTCCATCTACTTTTATGATCATATTTGCTTCGAATATACTACTTGCTTACGGTAATATTGTATAGCTTGTCTAAATCACGTACCTTAGTTTCTCCTGCCAAAGGATTACCGAAATTCTATGACTTGTTGATTTCTTAAATTGTTCACACTAGTCTCATGGTCATGACAGCAGTAATTAACCGGTAATATTCAATTACTTTTATGATTTTCTGATGTGGTAAATAATTCGACAAATTTTCAATTTCATCCTCATAGTCTAGATTTCGATTATATAATATCTTGTAGATTAGATAAGTTACTTACTTAATGTTGTCATATTCACGATTTGTCGTAAACTTTAAAGGAAGATAATCTTTTCCTAATTTTCTTTAAATATTATAAAAATAGAAACGATAAATGCAAAATTGTTAATCTAAAGAGACTATCAGGGATTTTGATTTAATCGCTCTTGTCTCCTCACTTAATTTTTAATTGGAAAACTACAGTTCAACTTATTTACTTTTCCTCTAGGTTAAGTTATTACCATAGAAAAAAAATACTCGAAAGAATTCTATGGTTGTTGACATATACGTCAAGTTTAATCTTCACTGATAGCAACCGATGTTTAGAGACCCTGAATGACATGGTTGAAAATCGTTTGCAATAGCGCAACTGCATCCACTCTTTGTGTTCTTCCAAATTCTAATCTGAATTCTTCATGTCCCCTTTTTTCTTTCCAAATTCATTTCACTGGATAATACTCCTTGAATAACATCTTCAAACCTTAATGTTTACGATTACTGCTAATACTCTTACTACCTCTACCACTACGGAATTTGAGTCGACAACTGCATCTCTGTGCTAATGTGGTGTGGCAACTCGAAATGATGTACGTACGTACGAAGTTCTATGTTGTTACTGACTGACTGACTGAAACTTCGTTGATGCCACGTAAAGTTGTTTTAAGAATTTTTGTGAATTTTAGTCATCAGTATTATTGAAAAATCGGATGAACTTTTTTTAAATACACAAATATCTTGAACTGGGTTATTTTAGTTAGACTTTACCGAGCGGACGTTAAAAACGTTTCGTAAACTAACAATTACTAGTATTCACAGTGTACATTTGTTTACTGCAGTATCAGTAATATTCTGAAATAGACAACTACTTTATGAGTATCTCAAGTTATTCTGTTTATAAACATATCGAAATAATAGTCTACAATAATGTTAAATCTTTGGTATTACTTTTGTCGAATAGGTGCCGGTGTAATATTTCCAGGAATTCGTGGAAACGTATTAGAAGTTTTAGAAACAGGTGATATTTTGCAAGAATGTCAAGTGGTCAGTGCGAAGCCATCTCAGTATAACTTTCAATGGTTTGGTCCAGATGGTCGTTTAATATCTAATTCCGCATTTCTTCAAAGAGACTATATAACAAGACAACGAGATGAAGGTATTTACCGATGTGTGGCTAGTCCAGTTGAAGAAGGAAGATTACAAGTTGAGAATAACCTAATTGTAACAACAGCACGTAAGCTTGGTGATACTGTTTATGTTATCAACATATAGTTGGTTCAAATAGGTGCAATTATATTTTATGAGGCATGAGAAAAACGTTTTACTTTTAAAGCAGAAAAGAAAGTTTTGTAAATTGTATTCGACCTGAAACATTTATTCATTGCTAAATACGTTGATAAATTTACTGTGGAAAAGGAAGATAAGCAAAACTCAGAAAAAAATGTAGCGAAAGTCACGTGGTTCAATAAATTTCTACTGGATGACGTTCACAAAAGTCTTCAATAATAAAAGTTTATATTCGGAAACAAAAATGGGTAACGGAGCAAAGGGAAACTACAGTGAATTGCAAGAATTCTCCGAACTCCAGCTTTCAGTACTTCCTAGTCTTTAATGATTTTGTACTTTTTGTACTGAGAAATGAAGTTTCTATTAGTAATTACCAAACTAAGACCTAAATATTTACTATTGCTACCATAGTATCATTATTCAACTACAGAAAGGTATTTTGTAGCTGAGCATCCATACTTGATTATTTATTTGATCTAGACTTTTGTTTATCATAGTTATTCTTAATTCATTACAACTGTTAATCAGTGTACTTTAGATGCATACTTCAAAATCACTATTAGATTTCACTGATAATATAGGTGAATTTTCAATAATGTATGAAAAGAATTTATTTTCCATAGACTAATATTCAACGGTAAAACTCTAAAGTTCCATGATTCATAACGTTTTGTTCTTCTTCAGCACTACGTTTCCAGATCACAACAATAGAGGAGGACTTGAATATTGGAGGTTTTACACATCGCCGTATAGTACCAGTTGATCCATCTAAACCAAATCTTACTACTCGTGAAACTTTTATATACCAGTGGCTAGACACAGAAATGAATCCGATTCTTGATTCGATGGGGCCAGATTTACGTATCAAGTTTCAAAGTCCTTCAGATTTTGGACGGTATTCAGTTCGTATCACTGGATTGAATTCTGGCTATCAGAGAGATCTGAGTACTTATATTACTATGGATGGTAAGAATTGGAAAATATATTATCATATGAAGTTGTTTAATCAGTTTTTCATGCACCTAACAGTCAATGATTATAATTCAAGTTGATTTAACAGGAATAGTTAAATGTAACACATAACTTAATGTAAAAAATTGGTAAGCTACATTACCTGTTTAATTTCACGAAGATTTACACGTATTTCTACTTATTATTTTTTTCATTTCATCCAAGTCCACTGTCATGTTCTTCAAAAATACAACAGACAAGGGTAACGTTGCTAGTACAATTACCCCCCTCTTGATAAACTCAATATCATCTGTTAGAGTTTAATAAAGACATAAGCTAACTAAAATGTATCAAAAACGTGAACAAAAAAAGAAACCTGAAAAATTTTGAATGTAATTATTAACATTCTTGAATTTTATTACAGGTCGAAATGGTGAAGTAGAACCAACTTATTCTGTTGTAATTCGAGAAATTTCTGGTCCTCTTTATTTAAATGCACGATTAGAATTGGAGTGTTCTCCAAGACCACCAAATTCAGCTGCTAGAATTAATTGGCTTGGTCCAGATGGAATGGTGGTTTCTGATTCTAGTAATATAGTATTTGAACGTTTCCAACCTCATCATCAAGGTAGATACACATGCCAAATCTTACTACCGAATCAAATTATTTTACGTCAAGTATGTTCATTGAAATTCAATTTCCCTAATAATATTTAAAGATAGTTGTTTTGGCAATTTTAAATAATCAAATGTCAGAAACTCAATTTTATGCTTAAAACAGTACTGAATTCCTATCAATTAATCATATTCCGTACTTGCCATTACTATTTACCTAATAGCTGGACCGATAACAAATTTAGAAAAATTTCGAACTACTCAGAAATTATTTTTCCAGTTATGGAATTCAAGCGATAGTCTCAATAACAAAGTAGCATTATTTGCAACCATCTAACTACCCTATCGTGGTGAACAGAGTCCCAAGTTATCATGAGTTGAATAAAGTTTGAAAAAATAAATTTATCATAATAGATATAAAACTATGATATGGATTTAGTTTAAAGAGTTTAGAAGGCTCGTTTAATTTTTAATATGGAAAGCTATTGAGAGTCAGAAAGACAGTGACATATTACTTGCTAGACCACTTTGATTGACTACTGGTTTAATAAAGGATATTTAATGTTGGCATTATAAAAGGTTAAAATTAATAATGCTTTAGCTGACATTCGTGATTAATTTTCTCTCTCCAATCTATTAGAGTGTAGAATTGGTTGTTTCCGGGACATCGACAGAAATTCCAGAACCTGATAGACTCTATACAATTCGAATTATTCAATCACCTACGTATTTCAGATATAATGATGCTGTACACCTACAATGCATTGTTTCTCCTACACCCCCATTAGTATCATATGAGTGGTTTAAAGATGGCGTGCTTATTGGACGACAAGCAGATATCCATATACAGAGATTTAGCCCAGATGATGTTGGTCGGTATCAGTGTGTTGCCCGATTTGACAGTATGGTGCTTACCTTTAACAGTACAATATCTATTGACGATGGTACAGGTAAGTCTTAATAAGACTTTACTCAAAAATCGTGGATTTATTTAACCAGGAATTAAATGTTTCTGCATAGCCACTTAAAAAAAGTCTTGAATTCCTTAAAAGTCAGCAATTATTGTTGTCGGAAATTTCACGTGAAAAAAGAAATTAGTTGTTTTTTACTACACTAACTGTTTAGTTCATTGTTTTATTCATATTAAGCTATCACTAAACTTAAGGGCTAATCTAATTAATTATATTGATAAGATATATATACATTGACATCAAACACTATATTGAAACAAAATGGTAGTTGGGGTTAATTAATAGGAAAACTTAGGTTTCGTGCTACTTGACACTCTTCGGCAAGTTGTACCTGCAATCTTGAAGGAACTGATACTCCCAGGCGGATTCGATCTTAGGTCACCCAGGTACATTGTCAGAGACGTTACCATTGAACTATTTGCACTAAGAAGGTCCTGACATACATGGCATTGATCACAACTCAGTGATCAATCAATTGTAAACATAAAGCACTTAATCATTTGAATGTAATATACTACATAGATAAACATTTTTTTCAATGAACATAAGTGAGAAGTTGAAAATACTAATGAACTGTTTTTGTAAGCAAAGATGGGTGGTGGCTAACTGTGAAATCCAGGACGCGCGTTTCGTCCAATTTGGGACTCGTCAGCTGGATGTACTTGCATCTCAGAGTTGATGTTCACTCTGGAACTCGAACCCAGTACCGTTCGCTTCAAACGCCTTCGCGTTATCCACTCAACTACTGAGTCCTGATAGCCACTTGCTTGTGCAATGAGTTGAATTTAAATTCACTTGGTAATGTTTGGCTTGTATGCACAGTATGCACAGTATGCACATTGCCAATAACAGACTGATCAATTGCAGTCTTAAACCTCAATGGGAAGATACAAGCCAAACAATACCAAGTGAATTTACTATTGAACTCATTATAAACATGAATGATAATCATAATTATTTATTTAGAACTATAAGGTTTCAATGAATTGAACGAACAACATCCAAGAAATGGTACATCATTTTTCAACAAAAAAACTATTTTTTTAACTTGGTGCATGATGATGAATTCTCGATGTTAATTTCTTTGTATCTAACCATAATAATTTTTCCCAGACATTTAAAATAATTTAATGGAGGGTCATTAAATTAAACCAGAAGAAATAAAAAAATTTAAACAGTAATCTTATTTTATTAAAACCTGTAACTAAGTGATCATATCGAGACAATCCGCTCAGATCGTATACATAACAGTAAAGATTAATCAATAGTAGTCCATTGACATCAATAATAGAAAAACTAGAACCTTTACTTACAGCTTTATACCACATTAACAAGTTAATGACTATCTGAACTCAGCTACTCTGAGAAAAATGGGTTAAAGTTTGGAGGAAAAAATCAATGTTTTCAAATTTCTTTATGAACAATAACATTGAAATTTTTATTCAATTAAGAAGGTTAAAACATGACGTAACATACGACTTGAAATCCACCGTTAGATATGATCAAACATACGGGGTGTTGAACATTTCCTTAAAGATCACAAAATAGGAAAGGAATATATACGATCAAGTGAAACATAGGTTAATTATCTTCGCAGATACAAAGTGGACTACATTACTCCGTCAGCTGAGATTATAAATCAATATCCATCCGGCTTTTTTTAATATGTGTGTAATTGATGTACTCAGTCATTTATATGAAACGTCAGAAGTACTTTTGCTATGACGATAACACTAAAATTTCATGAAACGTATGCTGTGATCATCAATTGTCACTTCTAATGATTTACTGTATCTTTTGTATTTAAAATGGTGAGTTAACTTAGATGAAAACTTAATATATGCCATCATTTACTGCGATTTTACAAGATATGGAAGGAAGTTAAACAGAAGTGACAAAGACAATGAAGAAAAAAGAATAAACTATTTTCTAATGGAAATAAGAAAATAGTAATATAACAGCTTGTGTGATTGGAAAAGTCATCAAAAAAAACCAATAATAAAACATCAATAAAAACACAATTTATTCGAAAATAACAGAATAAACGTTTGCTGCAACTATGATTAGGTTACATGAGGAGGTTGAATAAAATAGGGACTAGAAACATGTCATAGGAAAAGAGAAAAAGAACTATCGATATACTAGTTAAGGAAGTTTGATGGATAAATTCATTTTTGTATTTGCTGTTTGAATCTTCAAATTGATGTTTAGGACTGCAAGTGGTTAGTTTCTTATTAATATATGTGGGTCCTGTGCGGAGTGCCCCGATATCGCCTTAAGTCACAAGCATTATAAACAGAGATGGATGGTGGCTATCAGTAGAATCCAGGACGCGCGATTCGCCCTGATTGGGACTCATCAGCTGGGTGGGAAGACTCAAACAACTGAAACAGAAATGAATTAAAACCTCACCTCATTGCATATGCTAGTAATTATATTGACTCAACAACTAAGTGAATAAGGCTATGGCGTTTAAAGCCAAACGGTACTTAGTTCTAGGTCCGGAGTGAAGATCAACTATGAGATTCAGGTACATCCAGCTGACGAGCTACAAATAGGACTAAACGTGCTCCCTGGGTTCCGTTGCTAGCCATGATCCGTCTCCGTTTATAATGTTTGATAGATAAGGCCCTAAAAAGTTGTTTTGTTTTTTACGCTGTTTCTGTTAAAGAGTTAGTAACAATAGTCTGTTGTGAATAACATTTGGTAGCTTTAGTAGTCTTCTCCTCAAACCGTAAATACAATTGATCAATTTCCATACGTTATGTGATGTCTAGGAATCCATGTGACATTACTTTGTTTTTTTTAATAGCCATGTCAAGCCGTCATCAAAAGAAAAACGTCCCGCCTTGATATTTAAGTCTTATAGAGACCCAATTTATGGTTGTTGAGTAATTTATCTTCTAGACAATTGCTCTCACTGGGGTACATAACATATAACGTAGCTATTCGAAAAGTGAGAATAAACATTTCTTGATCACTAGTACAAATGATAATATCTAAATGTATTTCATGCCCTTTCCATTACCCTTATTTTACGATAGTCTTAAGACGATAAATATAAATTTTATTTTGTCACATCTACTTGGACACTTATGGTTGATACAAGACAAGAGAGTTTTTATCACCTCGGAAGTCATTGTTAACAATATTGATATATATTTGGGATAATTAAGCCGATAGTTTTTTTAAAGAAATCCATAGTCACCTCACATTTATTTCTATAATAAGCCACTTCAACTAGCAGCTCCCAACTTTCACATCTTCAGTGACAACAAGACATTTCATGACTTTATGGAACAGCTCTTGAATTAATTTAAATAACACATTAAGTTCCAAACGAATTTATTTAACTAAGGAATTGTTTTTGATGATTTTATATTCGAAACTATATGATCATATATATGTGATAAATTATAGGTCAATGAATAAGTGTATGAAGTTTAGGAGTTAGTTAGTCTCTATGTGCATCTTGACTACATAATTTTAAATAAAGAAATGACCATTAAAGGATATGATTTATCGAACTTGAAAAATGTTCAATCGATAAGTTGAACACAGTCATTATAATTTTTGTCAAGTTATAAATGATAGAAGTGTATGAATAACAATCAAGAATTGTGATTAGAATCAACGTTTTTAGTAATAATGATAAAACTATGCAACATAGAACCATGCTTACAAATGTAGGACTGAAAAGGTAACAAACAAAACCAGCAGAGAAATTATATCAGGTAAAAATCAGTCCTCGCTTACGTTTATACTCATCTGATTCATCTACTATGATGATAACTCCGTTTCAAGATCAAGTACTTTATAATATTTAATGAAATCATCTAAGGTTATAAGGAATATTTTTAGCTTAGAATGAGGGTGCTGTAAGTACTGTATTCTCTGAGACAAATTGTATTAACAAACTGTTTAGACTTCAACAAAGTCACTTAAGTTCCCGTTAGCAAATATTCATGTGGTCTTTAGAAGCAAATTAAACAAGTAACGAGCACTAGTGTGTAGTTGATTATAATACTCATTTCCATCATTGCTAGTAATACATCTCTCTCTTTCAAATCCTAATTTAAGAATAAGTCCACGTGTTTCGTTAATCCAACTGGCAGCATATTTGCTCACTATTACTTACATATTTTATCGATCAATGTATAATTGTTGCTTTAAAGAGAAGAATCTGAAGATATCATTTCATGAGATTATTACTTTGACTTAATACTTTTAAGTAATTGTGATATATTCTAAGTTTTCTTAACATTTTTATAGGGATATTCATTGTATTTCTATAATTATCTTGTTTCAGCATTATATATATATGTCACGGAAGCCATATTGAGAACAAGAAGTATACATTTTACTAAACTTATTAGTCGTTATGGGTATAAAATATGTGTATATCCAGTGGTATTCACAGTTACATTTATTATAATCATAAATTGAATTTCATCAAGAAACGGTATCATAATGCTTAAAAACTCTTTCAAATTTCAAGCAATATTTATTTTTTACATCAATCAGTGTTATTGTCCAATAATAAGGTCAGTCATAAACTGATTTATGAAATACAAAGTAATACTCTATAAAAGCATCATTTTGAAATTTAGATATGAACCAGTGATTGAAAAAAGTAGTTCAATGTAGAAAAGTTAAAATAAATGTTAAATTTCAATAGTTGAGATCATGAGTCAATTGAAACTAGATCACCATGGAAAACCTGAAAGCACTGGATGGCCGTTTTGCCCTAGTATGGAACTCCTCAGCAGTGTGCATCCATCTTAAATTGTTAGAAATTCTCAAGACTAATTAATGAAATCAAAATATAGTTGATAAATTCATCCCTAAATGATAATTATATTGGAATGACTTAGTTTACACTAAAATGTATATAAAACGGTAACACTTATTATCAGTCATTTTCTAGTTCTATTTAATTTGCTTATTATTTAAAGAGGTTCAATATATCATGACCTACATTATATAACACTTTCATTGATAACTCCGGACCAAACTATCAAAGCATTTTTGACACGTATTCCCATCATCTTGAATTAGAATGAGGAAAAAAACTTGAGTTTTAAGGAAATCATTTTCTGGCAATAAAACAGTTCATTCCATTTTCTTATTCTTCGATATATAACATATCCAATATACAATGAAGAAACTAGTGGATCTATTTTCATTATGATAGATGACACAATCAAAAGGTAATCAACAATTTTGAATGAAAACAAAATATGCAACACAAACGTTCATTATCTTCATTTTAGATGTTGAATGCGATATTTCTTTTAAGAGAATGTTTCATATACTCATTTATCACAGTTAGATCATTAATCATTTCGAAATTGAACCTTATATAATAAAATTACATAAGATTATGCTTTATCATACGAATCACATTTTCAGTTATGTTTTACTCTAAAAAATGTTTTGTTTTCTTTTGTTTCATTATTTTCAACAAGGAGTGGATTTAATAATGCGACCTAATATCATATATATCCCAGCATTTCATCCATTTGAAATTGAATGTTTATCTATACGTACCGGTTTATCACCTATTGCCATATTTGGTAATGGTGCACCTATTGAATCAGATAATCGATTTACAATTATAAAACCAAATGAACAACGATTAATTATAAAAGCTACAGATGGTTTATCAAGTGTTTATAATGGTTTACGTATTCGGTAAGTGAAAATTAAAAAAAAACTTATTACAATCGACAAATGTTTTATAATATATAAATAAAATCAGAAGGGGTTTGTGGAGATTTTAGAAATTCCACTGGCTTAAACCATGAGTCAATTGAAGCTAGACCACCATGGAAAACCTGGAAGCCCGTTTCGCCCTAGTATGGGACTCCTCAGCAGTGCGCACCCACGATACCACACCGCGCGAGATTCGAACCCAGGACCTATCGGTCTCACGACAGGCGCTTAACCAACTAGACCACTGAGACAGTATCCAATGGTGTTAATGTCTAACTTCAACCAATACACGAAATTGTGTCACCGTACACCATTGTCTTCAGTGAGTTTATATTTCATAACAGACCTGGTTGAACATTGTTAGATGCCGGCTCAGTGGTCTAATTGGTTAAGCGCACTGCTGAGGAGTCCCATACTAAGGCGAAACGTGCCATCCAGTGCTTCCAGGCTTTTCATGATGGTCTAGCTTCAATTGACTCATGATTTTAACTCGTGAAGTATAAATAAAAATGTTGAAAAACAAATGAGGTTTCATTCAATGTTCAAAGAATATAGTATAGTCTCATAAGTATCATTAAATTATGAAACAATGGTTATATAACATAAAATTACTTGATTAAAACAACAAAGAAATATTTATATGAATATTCGTCAATAATAAAATGAATAGTTCGACAAAAATTAGTATACAGAAGTCATTCTATGTGAAAATTCTATTTGAAATAATCTAAGCAAATGAATTTTAAAATAATTCCAACATTTCGTCCATCAAACTTGTCTGAACTTCTTCAAGGTAATTAATCAAAATCATCAAGGAAATATATAACGTTTTAATAATCAAATCAGATCAAATATATACTGTGCTAATCCAATCATATTTGAATGTTGATTTTTAGTGAATAGGATAACATGAGTAAGTTAAATGCGAAACATGTGAAAAGTTCACGATGTGAAAATAAATGACTGAAACGAATTGTGTAAGTGTGTGTATGTGTAAGATTGAGTTATTAATGAATGGTATTCCATGTTAATATGATTTTATATGAAGGAAAAATAAAAGTGTAAATTGAAGGTTGAAAAAAAAATGTTTCTGAATCATTGAAGTGCTAGTAAAGATACGAATCATCAATTACATAATTGTATTGCTAAAAATAACTCACATTAATTTCAGTCAAAATAACGATGCATGTAAAATAAACAGGTTGAATAAAGATAGGGTCAACTAATAGTTGCCAAGTAATCGTTAGTTGAGGACCATCCTATCGGTTCAGTTTGTTCTTGTTCGCCTATATATACAGGGCTCCTGCTGCCAATCTTTCTTTATGATTGTTAAAACCTTTCTCAGGTATTCTGGTCCCCGAAATTTTATCTGTGTTATGTTTAGCAATACAATTATGTTTTTGATGACAGATAATTCTCATTTAAAGATTAAACATTAAAAAACACGAAGTTCAGTAAGGGGATCTCTTTTCAACGAATTTATTATCAAACTGATGATTCTCATCTTTACTTACACTTCGATGATTCCGAAACAATTTTTTTTCAACCTTCAATTTACACTTTTATTTTTCCTTCATATAAAATCACATTAACACGGAGTATCATTCATTTATAACCCAATCTTACACATACATTCACACACTTACACAATTCGTTTCAGTCATTTATTTTCACATCGTGAACTTTTCATATGATTTGCATTTAACTGACTCACGTTATCCTATTCGCTAAAAATCAACATCCAAAATATGGTTTGATTAGCACAGTATATATTTGATCTGATTTGATTTTTAAAATGTTATATATTTCCTTGATGATTTTGATTTTGATGATTACCCTGAAGACGTCCAGACAAGTTTGATGGACGAAACGTTGGAATTATTTTAAAATTCATTTGCTTAGATTATTTCAAATAGAATTTTCATATTCATTTTGAACATTATTAAAAAACAAACTAATAAAGATCATATTTTATTGTTGTTTTTCTAAGCTTTTTAATATTGTGTAATTATTGTGAATGAGAATATCGATGGGAAGAAACGACTATATTTTAACACAAAATTATAGTTATATAAAAACCATACTTTATTTGAAAAATGTTCATTATTGGTCTCAGACTTCATTATTCCTTTATTTCCATACTCATTACTCTCTGTTCCCATTCTTTCCTCTTCTCAACCTTTTACTGAGAGTCTTCTATTTCTGATTGTCGTTATATACTACTTATCTCGATATAAGTAGCACATATCATATAACGATTTAACATCATCGAAAATACAGATCAATAAAAATGTCATCTCTTTTGTTATCGAAATAAGCATTGAAGTTAACTCAGTGAATAAAGCTGTTATTTAAATTAAGCGTTAAAGAAATTGATCGTACCAGAGTGATATGGATCCATGGATCATATCGTTTTATTTTGTTAATCCAAATATATATAATTTAGAAGTATGTAATCACAATTGATTGATCACTGGGTGGTGATCAGTGTCATGCTTGTTTAGTCCTTATTAGTGCAGATCAAATGCTATCGATCATGTTGCAATGTGGCCACCATTCTAGGTGACTCGACACTGTGGGCACTATGTATTGATATTTTAGATGGTGGTTAGAGGTAGTCAGCTGGAAACCCTGGACCCGGGTTTCATGCCACTTGGCACTCGTCAGCAAGGTGTACCTGTAATCTTGAAGGAACTGGTGCTCCCTGGCGGATTTAATCTCGTGTCACCCAGCTTCACAGTCAGAGGCGTTACCACTGAGCTATCCGAGCCGTGATTGACCTCCTGTAGGACTGACATGTAATCACAATTGATTGATCACTGGGTGGTGATCAATGTGAATAGATTAGAAGTAGACATGACTGTAGTCATTAACATCTATTGAAAACCGAAGTACATTTTTCTGATAATTTATTGTTAACATTATCCTTTGTTTAAATATCATAATGTTTATAATATGGGATAGAAAGAAATAGTTTCTGAAAAATCTATTAAAATGATATTTATGAATTTGATATAGGATGCTTGAATAGGTAACTAATGATAGAAATATAATTGTAATTTCATTCAATGAAATTATGGTTTATTCAAGTAATTTATTTAGTGTAATTTATATATTTATTGATTTATTGCTATTTTAGTCTTAAACTAATCAAATGGTTAATAGATTCTTTTCTTTTCTCTTTTTTTCCTTTTTTTATTATCATAATCTCATCATAAATATAAAGTATTATATAAATCTTTTATATGCACTTATAAACACAGAGGTAATCTCTTATCGTTAATCAAATATAATGTCTACAAAAATACGAATACTTTCCCCATAGATATTCAATATATTCGGTGTATTGCGTAATCAATAGGTAACAGATTTCCCTATTTTAAAATATTTTATTTCATTTGAATTTGTTTACCTACCACAGAATATCAAACATATGTGTTTCATATATTTCTATTTTGTTTCAACTTGATTATAATTGCGTTTATGATGATAATTCAATAGTGATACAATGATAATATCTAATATAAATTTATTTATAGTATGTTTGTCAATATTTATCAGGTTTTACAATTTCTTTTACATGATATATCAGTGTAAGATTATTGGTTGAGATCATAAACCGACTGATGTTAGACCACCTTTGGAAACCTGGAAGCACTGGACGGCTGTTTCGTCCTATTGTGGGACTCCTCAGCAATGCACATCCACGATCCCGTGAGCGGGATTCGAACCCAATGCCTTCAGTCTCGCGCGCGAACGCCTAACCTACTGGATCACTGAGGCGGCAAACAATGGTGATCCAAAGGTGGTCTGACATCAATCAGTTCATGATCTCAATCAAAAACCTAATAATCTCCACAACCCTTATACTAGTAATGTAAGATTAATTGTACAGTAGTTATAACTAAACGAACATGATTATTTAAGTATTTAGGAATTGAAAATCGATGATAGGTATATTTACTTTCAATGACCTTTGCGTGATGAATCTACTTGAATATATTCGTATGTATTTTTTCAAAATTAGTGATTAAATTAAGATTAATCAAATAATATTTGGTAAATAGATGTTATAAGAAACTGAAAATTGCTTACTGAACTAATCTCAAAGTGTGGGATCTTTGATGTACCGTCCAGTGTTTTCAGGTTTTCAATAGTGGTCTAGCTTAGATCGAGCCATAAATTCAACTATTGAACTAATACTAAAAACTTAAGGGAGTAAATCATGGGTGAAGAGGATTAGACTATCTATCATTTTTGAATGTATTATTTGATATTGAAGTCCAAACAAGTTGCCGTCACTTGACTCTGGTAGACAGTGTGAGCAGTTGTTTGGACTTTTTCTGAACAAAAAATTATTTTGTGACAGTAAATAGCGATCGAGTGATTCGTATGAATTATATATATATAATCTTTGAAATTAGCAATAAAATAGTTAGTTAGAAGGAGGAGGAGTGGTGAACACGTCATTAACTCGATAGGATACCTTGTTAAATTTAAATTGGACGTTGAGAGTTTTTATTCATGGTGTATTGGAGTCAGTCAATCATCTACAACCTTGGATCAGGCACGTATATGCATAGGTCCAAGTCCCCATACGTCATTAGCACAAAAATGGACACCAAATTCATAGAAGTAGTTACTTGAATGATGATAATATACAAAATAAGGATTGTATATGAGGATATGATACACGAAGAAAGATTAAGTTCATAGAAAGAAGAGAATAAAGTAGTTTTAATCTCACAGTTTAAGGGAAGACGAAGAGTGTATACACCTGCGCCATTGTGATCGATTCTGAGCCATATCACCCAGTCTCCGACCACTGATTACGATAATCGCATGGACCCAAACCAAGTAGTCTGCGCATCTAACAACATGGCATAGACCAGAAGTTAGTGACTCTACGGACTGATGTCACGTTCTGGTTTGGCCGCTTCTAACTCCCTTCCTACCATCTCTAACACGCTTCGTGGTAATCAGTGTTCAGGCAAACGTAACACGTGGCCCAATCATCTCAGTCGATGATGATTTGCAATTTCACTAACTAATTTACCATCATTCCCTAATACCCTGAGTCTAACCTCACCATTACTTACCCGGTGATCCCAGCAGATGCAAGCAATATTTCCAAGACAAATGTAATCAACTACTAGTAACTTACGAGTATCCCTTAGCCTTAGGGGCATTGTTTCGCAGCCGTAAAGTAGAACAGAACGAACTGCTGCCCAGTATACTCGTCCCTTAATTGACAGATAGACATAATCACTCAAAATGATTGCTTCGTAATAATGTTTAACTCAAGTAGTTATTTAAAAATTAGGGATTCATCAGTCAAATAGTATATTTACTTGACTCCATACATCGTTGGTGGAGAGGAGAAGATTGTGAAATACTCCCATCTATAATAAGTTAAATTCTAGTTATTAAGATAATAATAATTAACTTTGAGATGGTGGAGAAGATTTGTAGCTCAGGTGGATGATTTTGATTCAATTTTGTTCTCTGAAATGGATGGTTTGGTCGTGGAGCTTTCATCGATCTTCTGAACGATATCATCAGCACAAACTCCATCAAAATAATTAACTTTACAACTATTAACAAATAAACTGAAACATGATTTCACTAGTATAAGAATTATCTGTATTGTATGAAATATCAATTGATAACTTATTGACTATTCTATATATTATATGAAAATATCCTAGTTTTGAGATAATGATATGCTTACCATCAGTTCATTTAATCATAAAATGTAGAAAAAAACGTGAAATTATCTATAATAAGTTTTATTTGTTGATTAATATATTGTGAGAATCTGTATATCGAGTATCATATAGTTAGGTTATATTGAACACTTTGAAGTTAACTAGTTAAAAAACAATTGTAATACAACTTTCAACTACAGGTGAGACCATAATTTATAGACGACCATTGAGCGACGCCAAAGTGATCTTGAGGATATCCACCTACTAACTAAGGTTATAAATCAGTGTGAGGAATTCGAATTATGATTTACAGTTGATGGTTAAGGATTTGTTTAGGGTTTTCATCACGAACTTACATCACCTATTATGCCAAAATGGTATTTGACCAGATGGACGAATGAATTTCGTACCATAATCTAAGCCTCGTTATGTTATATCCGATTGGTTCCTCCATAAATTATACTCTCACCTAACTTTTCTAAACTGTTTTAACGATTTTAAGAAAATTCATTTAGTTAACTATGCTAAAAGTCGTAGACCGGATAATAATTTATGTTTAATATATGTATATTCATTCTGAATGGATGAAGTTCGATAATTAGGTTGTTCAGATTATGTTAAAATCTGACTAACAGTAAATATCAAGGGTATTATCATTCATTTATTCATTATTTTATTTACATAACTGGAACTGGTTTTCGTTTACTCTGGTTGTATTTCAACTAATTATCTTGCTTTGATTAATAACTGAAGAATAACCAATACCATATTTATATAATTCTCAGTATTGATCTAATTCTATCTATAAAGTTGGAGTATGGCCACTAATCAAAATGTCTAAACATCATTTTATGATTTTAAATGGTTTCAGATAGTTTATAGGAGAACCATGACTTTCTGGTTGGGGCTCATCAGCATGGGGTAATTTCAAAGGTAAAGGAACTGATATTACTGATTGGAACCAAACTCATCTGACTCAGTTTCACAGTTGAAAGAGTTACCTATGAATATCAGTAGAGCTTTTCCGTGTTGTCTGATTTTTGTTAGTAATCTAATGCATGCTAAAACAATTTTCAGTTAAATAATTCAAAAATTGTTCACGAACATTGTGTCCTGAGAATGTTTACAACGTCATACTACTTATTAGTAGTTAAACGCTTCAACATTGAAATAATGAAGGTTATAATATTATAATATGAAATCGAATGTGATAAGGATAGTAGTTACTTGACGAATATGAGAATGGTGAAGTACAAATTAAGAACATAAAGATGATAATAACTAATAATTAATATTAAAGGGATCAAAAACAGTAGAAGAATATAATAAAATCAAATAACCATTCATGAAAATTAATCGTTAGTGTCATAGTATGGGGCTCCCCAGCAGTGTGCATCCACGATCCCGCACCCCATGAGCCGGCATCCAGTGGTGTTGGTGTCTAACATTAACACCACTGGATGCCGGCTCAGTTGTCTAGTTGGTTAAGCGCTTAGCGCGAGCGAGGTCCTGGGTTCGAATCTCACGGGGTGCGGGATCATGGATGCATACTACTGAGGAGTCCCATACTAGGACGTAACGGCCGTCCAGTGCTTTCAGGTTTTCCATGGTGATCTTGCTTCAATCGATTCATGATTTCAATCGAAAAGTATACTAGTTAAAATTGTGTTTTGTTGCTATATAAACTTAATTAACTAAATGATGAATGCATAGAAGTCCATACTTTCTTGTTTGATTCATGAACAGGGGATTCAGTGTGATTTAGGTGTTTTTTATGTTATATTCAAAAATCCTCTTCGAATATTTGACTCAATATAATAACTAAATACTTATGGTATATCTATATTCTCAACAGGAACATATTTTGAGAACTGTCACCAGTAAAATTGTTTCTACAGTTTATATATATGTTTGTTTCTAAACAAATAAATACTTATAATCTTAATGATTTTAGTTGTATGTTACCAGGACTCAATTATAAAGAAGTTACATTATACATAATGGATATTTGTACTGCTAGTCAATCACAATGTAGAACTCGACAATGTATTCAAACCTCTTCAATATGTGATGGTAAAGCTGACTGTCTTGATAAGTCAGATGAGGGTAGCAGTTTTTGCAGTGAGTACTTATTTATATATATATATATTTATTTATCCGTCAAATGTGTTCCATTTTTGTTTTACAGATAATGATAGTTTATTCAAAGTTTATGATTATGTAATTAGTTTTAAATTTCATTTAGCCAAGTAATTTATAAACTTGATCATTCATAATACGAATAATTAGCTTTTATCATGTACATAATCTTTGCAAACTCTCCTAACTTCTCTCTACTTTTTATACATATTCGTCTTATCTTCTAATTGTAATTCAGATTTTGATTTTTCTTTGTAGATGCTGGACTTACTGTGATTCCAACTCGTATTGTAGTTAAACCATCAGAACCTTTTTCACTTAAATGTCAAACTATTTTACCAGGGACCAGAATGCCACATGCACGTTTCGTACATAGTGGTCAAGATGTGGAGTCCGATCCTCGATTTATCATTGAGAGATCTCCAGGTATTTTGCTTATTAAGGCACCATATGGACTCTCAGTAGAAGCCAATGATACAAGAATTGAGTAAGTTGATTAATTTATTTCATAAATTCTTAGTAATAATAGAAAAATAGTTTTTCTATTGTTGTATTTGGTTGACTGACTACCATAGTTTACGTCTTTCATTGCTTTATCTTACAGATGTTACTTTCCCGATGAAAGCCCTAGAACTGCAATAATCAATGTAGTTACAGATCGATGTGGATTAGGATACTTCATGTGTTATGACGGAAATTGTATACAACAATCTCAGAGATGTGACGGGCAAACTCAATGTCCCGATGGATCTGATGAAATTAATTGTGGTTAGTTCAATGTGCTATTAACAGATGATTATCAAAAATGCTTTTTTTGGTAACTACGTACATTTTGGAAAATTTCCTCAATAACTTTCATTTTTTATTAGTGGCACAGTCTAGTTTCGATGATGCAATGAGAAGACGAATTTTATCTGAACTATGTGATATATTTGCGCAATACATTTCGAATAATCTGATCACATGTATACTTGTTAAAACATTTTTATATGAAAATTAAAAGGTCAACCAAACAGGTTAAAGGTGGGACGTAACAAAGATAAATAATAATAATAAAGTTCACAAAAACAATGTGATAACCACTCTGGATAATAAATCAGTATTACCAAGGTAGGTTAAGAGTAAGGACAAATTGCTTTTAAACGCATAAAGGGAATTTCAGTTTCCGTATAGCCAAGGCTTCAATAAATCTTAGTATACGTCGTTGAACGCTTTTGTACAACACTACAAATGCTGACTTGATGTCAACCTTGTGACCAATCTTAATCAAATGTTTCGCAATCGGAGATAATAACTGTCTATCATGTGATCTTATTTGACCATTGAAATTCCTTTGTTTCTGCAGCCATTTTGATATGTTATCAGTATAGGGGTTATGGAGATGAATAAGTTTGATTGAGATCATGAACCGATTGATGTTAAACTACCGTCGGAAACCTGGAAGCACTGAATGGCCGTTTTACCCTATTGTGGCACTCCTCAGCACAGCGCATCCACGATCCCGATCGCGAGATTCGAACCCAGGGCCTTCAGTTTCGCACACAAACGCTTAACCTACTAGACCACTGGGCCGGCATCCAATGGTATTAGTGTCTAACATCAACCAATCCACGAAATCGTACGACCATCCTCCGTTGTACTGAGGATTCCCATACTAGGATGAAACGACCATCCAGTGCTTCCAGGTTTTCCGTGGTGGTCTAGCTTTAGTGGACTCATGAACTCAACTATTAAATTACCAGAATTTCCACGCAACCTCCTTTTGATAATAAGCATTATAATTAATTACTCCAAACAACTCAAGATGTTAATAATGTAACTATTTTTCACAATTTTAAATATCGCTCAATTAATTGAATGAAGGTAGCATAAGAGTAATTAGATATGTAATATACCCAAAAAACAAGAAACAAATACAAGCATTAGCATTTATGAAAGATAAAGTAAGTTTCACATTGATATGGTTAGAAATATTTCAAAAGAATAACGTTTTCAGTTTATAAATGCGGAGCAAATGAAGTTAGCACTGATTTCAGAAGTTTATTGTATATATTTTTAAATACTTTGGTTTCAGTTTGCCAACCACCTAGCATTCTTTGTTCTTCGGGTGAGTGTATTACTCCTGAAATGCGATGTGACGGTACACAACATTGTCGAGACGGCACAGATGAAATTGGTTGCCGTATGTTCAGTAATATGTTTTCTATAGAAGTGTGTGTTGAAAACAAGTAATGGAATTTACTGTATGCAAATTAAGTAAAGAGATATGTCCTATTGTAGACAAATTGAACGCAAGTTCAGGTATCAGGAAGTATCTAAGATTTCTGAATGAAATTTAATAATTATAAAACATAGTTTTCACATGTGGTAAAATTTCTATAGAAAAAGAATTAAAATGTTGATTGTCTTTTTCTTTAATATTAAATAATGCTATCATTGTTAAACATAGTAATCACTAATTAATATTAGTGATTTATTCCTATATAATCTGACTGATTTCCGAGACTTTGAGATTCTACAGATAATCAGTTATTGAATCATAGTGATATAAATGTGGATATTTGTCAGAATATATTTAACACAGACAAAAAACTCACCCGTTTAATCTTATTCTAAGTTACGATAACAGTCTAGTGTCAACCATATGCAAAACCGCTATTATTCACGTTCAAACACACAAAAACAAAAGGATAATAAACATATCAGTACACAAAAGAAAATATATCATTTCATTAACAAACACGACTCAAACACCATAAAAAGTTATTGAGCATAAAAATTCCACAAGAAGATATATTCACTAAGTATTAAAAAAAAATTAAATTAAATAGGAGGGAAAGTGTAGCGGTTAGTGATAACTGTCAAAATGCAATGGTTGTATTGGTGAATGTGTAGTAACCGATCGACTTAAAGGCTGAGCACATGTATGTAACCACTGTTTGAAATAAGAGACTATTCTATAGGGAATTTGTAGCATTGATCGACCGATCTAATACTGAGAGAAGATTTATGCCTCAGTGATTGTTTTGCATGTGGTCATGTTGAATGATTTTGATGATGAAATGTTCATGGTGAAAATTAACTGAAGTATATTTGTTTGTCAATGAAATTATTTTGCAACAGCTCCTCGTTGTCGTCCTGGTCAATATCAGTGTTCTTCTGGTGAATGCATTGAACAACAAATGAGGTGTGATGGTCGACAAGATTGTCGGGACGCTTCAGATGAGACTGGTTGCCGTAAGTCAGATATCATCCGTATTTGCCATTTTAGCTAGGTGACCATTGCGAAATGTGAGAAATGTGAGAAATGTTAACAGTGACGAAAAACAGTTAGCTGTTTGATGTATTCTAACTGTTCTGACTTCTCACTAATTTTGACTTTATCACTGGTGGAAAGGAGTTATAAAAATGTGTTTTAGGCGATTTCAGCTCACTTATTGTATGTTGATGGAGGGAAATAGAATAGCAATGATTCGCATCATTTCAGTTCTGTTAACTTCAGTTATCTGCTGTTAGTTGATCAGCTATTATATTAATGCTCTTTAGAGAAGTACCTAGCCAGTGCTTTCGGTAAACCTGTTATTACGAGTCATGTGCACATTTCGGAAAATAGATTAGTTCTAACGAGTGTACACGACTCCTTACTATTCCTTAGTTTGTTTGCAGTTCGTGTTCACTTGAACTGTTTACAGGAGACGACAATTTTAATAATTGGTCTTCTGATTTATTCTACTACTTAACTAGCATTGTGAGTGGAGTGTGGGTGTATCGCGTACGGTTGGAAAGTTGTTATATCCGAATTAGCAACCGAATGACACTGCGAACTCTCAACACGTTGAGACGTTGAAATCACACTCTTCAAACCACACAGCACTGAAAAGAATATTCGTTCATTGTGGGACGGTTGAGTTGTCACCGGCTCCCTCGGTCAGTATGAAAATCGTCCAGTCAATGATGAACAGGTCCACTTGATCTTGCAAATATTCATATGTCTCTGTGTGTATCTGTAGGTAGCTGTATAGTCGAGATTGTGCACAGAACTCATTCTCAGAGCTGGAGTGATCTCACTCAACGCTCACAATTCACTAATCACTGGATATCGGAATGACGGGATTCTTCAATTAACGGCAACAAGAAAAGATGTTCTCTAGAATACGCTCGTCATGTGACATTGTTCAGGTGTCGTTGATGACGTTGATAAGGACAATGGTGACGCGGGTAATGACATCATAGAAGAGTAAGTAGAATAAGAAAAGACAGTGATGGTCAGGACTACAATCCTGATGATGTTAGAGACAGAGATATGCAGAATGGTGACGATAACGACGATTGTGTTTTCTAGAGAAATCCCACCTTTTAAATTGCCATTTCTTTCCAGAACTGTGTGATATTATTGTGTTCAGAACTAAATCACATGGTAGAATATGTGCGAGAAAGTGCAGCAGTTAGTGATAACTGTCAAAATGCAATGGTTGTATTGGTGAATGTGTAGTAACCGATCGACTTAAAGGCTGAGCACATGTATGTAACCACTGTTTGAAATAAGAGACTATTCTATAGGGAATTTGTAGCATTGATCGACCGATCTAATACTGAGAGAAGATTTATGCCTCAGTGATTGTTTTGCATGTGGTCATGTTGAATGATTTTGATGATGAAATGTTCATGGTGAAAATTAACTGAAGTATATTTGTTTGTCAATGAAATTATTTTGCAACAGCTCCTCGTTGTCGTCCTGGTCAATATCAGTGTTCTTCTGGTGAATGCATTGAACAACAAATGAGGTGTGATGGTCGACAAGATTGTCGGGACGCTTCAGATGAGACTGGTTGCCGTAAGTCAGATATCATCCGTATTTGCCATTTTAGCTAGGTGACCATTGCGAAATGTGAGAAATGTGAGAAATGTTAACAGTGACGAAAAACAGTTAGCTGTTTGATGTATTCTAACTGTTCTGACTTCTCACTAATTTTGACTTTATCACTGGTGGAAAGGAGTTATAAAAATGTGTTTTAGGCGATTTCAGCTCACTTATTGTATGTTGATGGAGGGAAATAGAATGGCAATGATTCGCATCATTTCAGTTCTGTTAACTTCAGTTATCTGCTGTTAGTTGATCAGCTTGTATATTATTGCTCTTTAGAGAAGTACCTAGCCAGTGCTTTCGGTAAACCTGTTATTACGAGTCATGTGCACATTTCGGAAAATAGATTAGTTCTAACGAGTGTACACGACTCCTTACTATTCCTTAGTTTGTTTGCAGTTCGTGTTCACTTGAACTGTTTACAGGAGACGACAATTTTAATAATTGGTCTTCTGATTTATTCTACTACTTAACTAGCATTGTGAGTGGAGTGTGGGTGTATCGCGTACGGTTGGAAAGTTGTTATATCCGAATTAGCAACCGAATGACACTGCGAACTCTCAACACGTTGAGACGTTGAAATCACACTCTTCAAACCACACAGCACTGAAAAGAATATTCGTTCATTGTGGGACGGTTGAGTTGTCACCGGCTCCCTCGGTCAGTATGAAAATCGTCCAGTCAATGATGAACAGGTCCACTTGATCTTGCAAATATTCATATGTCTCTGTGTGTATCTGTAGGTAGCTGTATAGTCGAGATTGTGCACAGAACTCATTCTCAGAGCTGGAGTGATCTCACTCAACGCTCACAATTCACTAATCACTGGATATCGGAATGACGGGATTCTTCAATTAACGGCAACAAGAAAAGATGTTCTCTAGAATACGCTCGTCATGTGACATTGTTCAGGTGTCGTTGATGACGTTGATAAGGACAATGGTGACGCGGGTAATGACATCATAGAAGAGTAAGTAGAATAAGAAAAGACAGTGATGGTCAGGACTACAATCCTGATGATGTTAGAGACAGAGATATGCAGAATGGTGACGATAACGACGATTGTTTTTTCTAGAGAAATCCCACCTTTTAAATTGCCATTTCTTTCCAGAACTGTGTGATATTATTGTGTTCAGAACTAAATCACATGGTAGAATATGTGCGAGAAAGTGCAGCAGTTAGTGATAACTGTCAAAATGCAATGGTTGTATTGGTGAATGTGTAGTAACCGATCGACTTAAAGGCTGAGCACATGTATGTAACCACTGTTTGAAATAAGAGACTATTCTATAGGGAATTTGTAGCATTGATCGACCGATCTAATACTGAGAGAAGATTTATGCCTCAGTGATTGTTTTGCATGTGGTCATGTTGAATGATTTTGATGATGAAATGTTCATGGTGAAAATTAACTGAAGTATATTTGTTTGTCAATGAAATTATTTTGCAACAGCTCCTCGTTGTCGTCCTGGTCAATATCAGTGTTCTTCTGGTGAATGCATTGAACAACAAATGAGGTGTGATGGTCGACAAGATTGTCGGGACGCTTCAGATGAGACTGGTTGCCGTAAGTCAGATATCATCCGTATTTGCCATTTTAGCTAGGTGACCATTGCGAAATGTGAGAAATGTGAGAAATGTTAACAGTGACGAAAAACAGTTAGCTGTTTGATGTATTCTAACTGTTCTGACTTCTCACTAATTTTGACTTTATCACTGGTGGAAAGGAGTTATAAAAATGTGTTTTAGGCGATTTCAGCTCACTTATTGTATGTTGATGGAGGGAAATAGAATGACAATGATTTGCATCATTTCAGTTCTGTTAACTTCAGTTATCTGCTGTTAGTTGATCAGCTTGTATATTATTGCTCTTTAGAGAAGTACCTAGCCAGTGCTTTCGGTAAACCTGTTATTACGAGTCATGTGCACATTTCGGAAAATAGATTAGTTCTAACGAGTGTACACGACTCCTTACTATTCCTTAGTTTGTTTGCAGTTCGTGTTCACTTGAACTGTTTACAGGAGACGACAATTTTAATAATTGGTCTTCTGATTTATTCTACTACTTAACTAGCATTGTGAGTGGAGTGTGGGTGTATCGCGTACGGTTGGAAAGTTGTTATATCCGAATTAGCAACCGAATGACACTGCGAACTCTCAACACGTTGAGACGTTGAAATCACACTCTTCAAACCACACAGCACTGAAAAGAATATTCGTTCATTGTGGGACGGTTGAGTTGTCACCGGCTCCCTCGGTCAGTATGAAAATCGTCCAGTCAATGATGAACAGGTCCACTTGATCTTGCAAATATTCATATGTCTCTGTGTGTATCTGTAGGTAGCTGTATAGTCGAGATTGTGCACAGAACTCATTCTCAGAGCTGGAGTGATCTCACTCAACGCTCACAATTCACTAATCACTGGATATCGGAATGACGGGATTCTTCAATTAACGGCAACAAGAAAAGATGTTCTCTAGAATACGCTCGTCATGTGACATTGTTCAGGTGTCGTTGATGACGTTGATAAGGACAATGGTGACGCGGGTAATGACATCATAGAAGAGTAAGTAGAATAAGAAAAGACAGTGATGGTCAGGACTACAATCCTGATGATGTTAGAGACAGAGATATGCAGAATGGTGACGATAACGACGATTGTGTTTTCTAGAGAAATCCCACCTTTTAAATTGCCATTTCTTTCCAGAACTGTGTGATATTATTGTGTTCAGAACTAAATCACATGGTAGAATATGTGCGAGAAAGTGCAGCAGTTAGTGATAACTGTCAAAATGCAATGGTTGTATTGGTGAATGTGTAGTAACCGATCGACTTAAAGGCTGAGCACATGTATGTAACCACTGTTTGAAATAAGAGACTATTCTATAGGGAATTTGTAGCATTGATCGACCGATCTAATACTGAGAGAAGATTTATGCCTCAGTGATTGTTTTGCATGTGGTCATGTTGAATGATTTTGATGATGAAATGTTCATGGTGAAAATTAACTGAAGTATATTTGTTTGTCAATGAAATTATTTTGCAACAGCTCCTCGTTGTCGTCCTGGTCAATATCAGTGTTCTTCTGGTGAATGCATTGAACAACAAATGAGGTGTGATGGTCGACAAGATTGTCGGGACGCTTCAGATGAGACTGGTTGCCGTAAGTCAGATATCATCCGTATTTGCCATTTTAGCTAGGTGACCATTGCGAAATGTGAGAAATGTGAGAAATGTTAACAGTGACGAAAAACAGTTAGCTGTTTGATGTATTCTAACTGTTCTGACTTCTCACTAATTTTGACTTTATCACTGGTGGAAAGGAGTTATAAAAATGTGTTTTAGGCGATTTCAGCTCACTTATTGTATGTTGATGGAGGGAAATAGAATGACAATGATTTGCATCATTTCAGTTCTGTTAACTTCAGTTATCTGCTGTTAGTTGATCAGCTTGTATATTATTGCTCTTTAGAGAAGTACCTAGCCAGTGCTTTCGGTAAACCTGTTATTACGAGTCATGTGCACATTTCGGAAAATAGATTAGTTCTAACGAGTGTACACGACTCCTTACTATTCCTTAGTTTGTTTGCAGTTCGTGTTCACTTGAACTGTTTACAGGAGACGACAATTTTAATAATTGGTCTTCTGATTTATTCTACTACTTAACTAGCATTGTGAGTGGAGTGTGGGTGTATCGCGTACGGTTGGAAAGTTGTTATATCCGAATTAGCAACCGAATGACACTGCGAACTCTCAACACGTTGAGACGTTGAAATCACACTCTTCAAACCACACAGCACTGAAAAGAATATTCGTTCATTGTGGGACGGTTGAGTTGTCACCGGCTCCCTCGGTCAGTATGAAAATCGTCCAGTCATTGATGAACAGGTCCACTTGATCTTGCAAATATTCATATGTCTCTGTGTGTATCTGTAGGTAGCTGTATAGTCGAGATTGTGCACAGAACTCCTTCTCAGAGCTGGAGTGATCTCACTCAACGCTCACAATTCACTAATCACTGGATATCGGAATGACGGGATTCTTCAATTAACGGCAACAAGAAAAGATGTTCTCTAGAATACGCTCGTCATGTGACATTGTTCAGGTGTCGTTGATGACGTTGATAAGGACAATGGTGACGCGGGTAATGACATCATAGAAGAGTAAGTAGAATAAGAAAAGACAGTGATGGTCAGGACTACAATCCTGATGATGTTAGAGACAGAGATATGCAGAATGGTGACGATAACGACGATTGTGTTTTCTAGAGAAATCCCACCTTTTAAATTGCCATTTCTTTCCAGAACTGTGTGATATTATTGTGTTCAGAACTAAATCACATGGTAGAATATGTGCGAGAAAGTGCAGCAGTTAGTGATAACTGTCAAAATGCAATGGTTGTATTGGTGAATGTGTAGTAACCGATCGACTTAAAGGCTGAGCACATGTATGTAACCACTGTTTGAAATAAGAGACTATTCTATAGGGAATTTGTAGCATTGATCGACCGATCTAATACTGAGAGAAGATTTATGCCTCAGTGATTGTTTTGCATGTGGTCATGTTGAATGATTTTGATGATGAAATGTTCATGGTGAAAATTAACTGAAGTATATTTGTTTGTCAATGAAATTATTTTGCAACAGCTCCTCGTTGTCGTCCTGGTCAATATCAGTGTTCTTCTGGTGAATGCATTGAACAACAAATGAGGTGTGATGGTCGACAAGATTGTCGGGACGCTTCAGATGAGACTGGTTGCCGTAAGTCAGATATCATCCGTATTTGCCATTTTAGCTAGGTGACCATTGCGAAATGTGAGAAATGTGAGAAATGTTCACAGTGACGAAAAACAGTTAGCTGTTTGATGTATTCTAACTGTTCTGACTTCTCACTAATTTTGACTTTATCACTGGTGGAAAGGAGTTATAAAAATGTGTTTTAGGCGATTTCAGCTCACTTATTGTATGTTGATGGAGGGAGATAGAATGACAGTGATTTGCATCATTTCAGTTCTGTTAACTTCAGTTATCTGCTGTTAGTTGATCAGCTATTATATTATTGCTCTTTAGAGAAGTACCTAGCCAGTGCTTTCGGTAAACCTGTTATTACGAGTCATGTGCACATTTCGGAAAATAGATTAGTTCTAACGAGTGTACACGACTCCTTACTATTCCTTAGTTTGTTTGCAGTTCGTGTTCACTTGAACTGTTTACAGGAGACGACAATTTTAATAATTGGTCTTCTGATTTATTCTACTACTTAACTAGCATTGTGAGTGGAGTGTGGGTGTATCGCGTACGGTTGGAAAGTTGTTATATCCGAATTAGCAACCGAATGACACTGCGAACTCTCAACACGTTGAGACGTTGAAATCACACTCTTCAAACCACACAGCACTGAAAAGAATATTCGTTCATTGTGGGACGGTTGAGTTGTCACCGGCTCCCTCGGTCAGTATGAAAATCGTCCAGTCAATGATGAACAGGTCCACTTGATCTTGCAAATATTCATATGTCTCTGTGTGTATCTGTAGGTAGCTGTATAGTCGAGATTGTGCACAGAACTCCTTCTCAGAGCTGGAGTGATCTCACTCAACGCTCACAATTCACTAATCACTGGATATCGGAATGACGGGATTCTTCAATTAACGGCAACAAGAAAAGATGTTCTCTAGAATACGCTCGTCATGTGACATTGTTCAGGTGTCGTTGATGACGTTGATAAGGACAATGGTGACGCGGGTAATGACATCATAGAAGAGTAAGTAGAATAAGAAAAGACAGTGATGGTCAGGACTACAATCCTGATGATGTTAGAGACAGAGATATGCAGAATGGTGACGATAACGACGATTGTTTTTTCTAGAGAAATCCCACCTTTTAAATTGCCATTTCTTTCCAGAACTGTGTGATATTATTGTGTTCAGAACTAAATCACATGGTAGAATATGTGCGAGAAAGTGCAGCAGTTAGTGATAACTGTCAAAATGCAATGGTTGTATTGGTGAATGTGTAGTAACCGATCGACTTAAAGGCTGAGCACATGTATGTAACCACTGTTTGAAATAAGAGACTATTCTATAGGGAATTTGTAGCATTGATCGACCGATCTAATACTGAGAGAAGATTTATGCCTCAGTGATTGTTTTGCATGTGGTCATGTTGAATGATTTTGATGATGAAATGTTCATGGTGAAAATTAACTGAAGTATATTTGTTTGTCAATGAAATTATTTTGCAACAGCTCCTCGTTGTCGTCCTGGTCAATATCAGTGTTCTTCTGGTGAATGCATTGAACAACAAATGAGGTGTGATGGTCGACAAGATTGTCGGGACGCTTCAGATGAGACTGGTTGCCGTAAGTCAGATATCATCCGTATTTGCCATTTTAGCTAGGTGACCATTGCGAAATGTGAGAAATGTGAGAAATGTTCACAGTGACGAAAAACAGTTAGCTGTTTGATGTATTCTAACTGTTCTGACTTCTCACTAATTTTGACTTTATCACTGGTGGAAAGGAGTTATAAAAATGTGTTTTAGGCGATTTCAGCTCACTTATTGTATGTTGATGGAGGGAGATAGAATGACAATGATTTGCATCATTTCAGTTCTGTTAACTTCAGTTATCTCCTAATAGTTGATCAGCTTGTATATTATTGCTCTTTAGAGAAGTACCTAGCCAGTGCTTTCGGTAAACCTGTTATTACGAGTCATGTGCACATTTCGGAAAATAGATTAGTTCTAACGAGTGTACACGACTCCTTACTATTCCTTAGTTTGTTTGCAGTTCGTGTTCACTTGAACTGTTTACAGGAGACGACAATTTTAATAATTGGTCTTCTGATTTATTCTACTACTTAACTAGCATTGTGAGTGGAGTGTGGGTGTATCGCGTACGGTTGGAAAGTTGTTATATCCGAATTAGCAACCGAATGACACTGCGAACTCTCAACACGTTGAGACGTTGAAATCACACTCTTCAAACCACACAGCACTGAAAAGAATATTCGTTCATTGTGGGACGGTTGAGTTGTCACCGGCTCCCTCGGTCAGTATGAAAATCGTCCAGTCAATGATGAACAGGTCCACTTGATCTTGCAAATATTCATATGTCTCTGTGTGTATCTGTAGGTAGCTGTATAGTCGAGATTGTGCACAGAACTCCTTCTCAGAGCTGGAGTGATCTCACTCAACGCTCACAATTCACTAATCACTGGATATCGGAATGACGGGATTCTTCAATTAACGGCAACAAGAAAAGATGTTCTCTAGAATACGCTCGTCATGTGACATTGTTCAGGTGTCGTTGATGACGTTGATAAGGACAATGGTGACGCGGGTAATGACATCATAGAAGAGTAAGTAGAATAAGAAAAGACAGTGATGGTCAGGACTACAATCCTGATGATGTTAGAGACAGAGATATGCAGAATGGTGACGATAACGACGATTGTGTTTTCTAGAGAAATCCCACCTTTTAAATTGCCATTTCTTTCCAGAACTGTGTGATATTATTGTGTTCAGAACTAAATCACATGGTAGAATATGTGCGAGAAAGTGCAGCAGTTAGTGATAACTGTCAAAATGCAATGGTTGTATTGGTGAATGTGTAGTAACCGATCGACTTAAAGGCTGAGCACATGTATGTAACCACTGTTTGAAATAAGAGACTATTCTATAGGGAATTTGTAGCATTGATCGACCGATCTAATACTGAGAGAAGATTTATGCCTCAGTGATTGTTTTGCATGTGGTCATGTTGAATGATTTTGATGATGAAATGTTCATGGTGAAAATTAACTGAAGTATATTTGTTTGTCAATGAAATTATTTTGCAACAGCTCCTCGTTGTCGTCCTGGTCAATATCAGTGTTCTTCTGGTGAATGCATTGAACAACAAATGAGGTGTGATGGTCGACAAGATTGTCGGGACGCTTCAGATGAGACTGGTTGCCGTAAGTCAGTTTTCACCGGTATTTGCTAATATTTTCGGTGTCCATTTTTGTTCGTTTAAAATGTTTTCGGTCACGTTTTTTTTGTATTTGAATTATTTTTTCTGATTCTTTTGGTTTTTAATTTTCTTTGGTTTTGCCACTTTTGTTTGTTTTGTTTTCATGATTGCTTTTATTATTCAATTTTTTTTCTAATTTTTTTTCTCCTTCCATTTGCTTTTGTGGTTTTACTCTCTTAATTTTTGCCTCACTGTTTTCTGTTATTTTTCGTTTTTCTTTTATTTTCTTTACTACCTTTTTATTGTTTTTCTGTACTCTGTTTTGTTGGATGAAGCAAGTTTTATAAAGTTTTTATTTCGTTTTTGAAATGGTTGTTTATTTAACATAGGAGACTGAATTTTTTAACTCATAATCTATATTATCGATGTCTGTCGAATTCCTTGCTCGTTTCCTAGCACTCTAACATTTCGTTTTCTGTCTATACCAGAAGCTATAATAATTCGCTTTTGCAGCTCTAGTCTATATGTTCTGAAACGTTAAATTTTTTAAACCTAATAGTTTTCTATGGGTATGAAATTTATTTAAAAATCTCTTACCCTCATAAGTCAACTGGTACCCTTTTTCCAACAATCAAAAGCATTGTTTTAGTCGGTTTATTAAATACCCAATTATCGGAACCATAAATTTGGCTCGGCAATATCGGTTCTAGCAAACCTTGTCGTCAGCCATGTATATTTCATATAGTGAAACTGATATGGCTTTCAGAGAGATGTTCGTCGGTTTATGATTTTTGGCGGAAGCAGAGCTCCTGATACATTCGAGAGCATATGAGAAAGTGACTTGATGAAGTTTCATAATACGAGACAGTCATCGAAATCTAAATGATTTTTACATGAAATGTGTATGCTAAGGGAAGTATCATCTTTAGTGTCCAATAACTTCTCAGGAAACTTATAGGTTTGCTTCGAGGTAGTTTGTTTATCGATAGGTCTAGAAAGTCTGTTGGTAGTAGTTGTGAACCGGATGTATTTAGGTACGAAAATTACAGAAAGAAAATAAGCGCCCAAGATGTTCTCGACATGCGAAAACGTTTATTTGAACGATCTGAACTCCCAAGTTAGTCTAACCTTGATTATTATATGTACTAGGTAGGTGATTTTGAGACGTAGACTGTAGATTAATAAGTGGAAGAAACCAACAGTGGAAGTGACGCTTTGAGAAATGTAGATCTGGATGCTACAATACATACTGGTAACAGTAAAGACAGAGGTGAAGCAAAGTCGAATGTGCAATTGAATATTAAAATCCCTGTGCTTATTGAAAAATCTGATGATGAGAATGTTGGCATTATTTATTCCAACCATCAAGTGCGGAAAACGGTTCTTATGAATGGGTCAGATGTTCGAGATGCAGCACATCCCGTTATCTTGTCTGTTCTGCAAGAGCTGCTGAGGGTAACCTCCCATGTATGGAATGTTACGATTATGATATGGGGTTATTGGTTCTACAGATGGATGCCATATTGAATAATACTCTAAATGTTATTTTATGCAGTATTTTAACGTTTTCCTTCATTTTTTCCCCTTTTAGGAGAACGAGTAAACGTTCGTGTAGTGCCAGATATCATTCATACACAGCCGTACGAAAAATGGAAGTTTGAATGCTCTGTGATAGGTGCAGATGTAGAACCAATAGTTAAATTCCAAGATGGTAGACTTGTCGAATCAGATCCTAACTTTCGAGTTACTCGCATTGATCCCAACACTGTCAGCGTTGAAGCGATTCATGGCTTAACGGAAAAAAAGGAGCGTCTTAGCTTCATGTAAGTAGATTCGCTATGAATTCTCTCATTTATGTATCTTTTGATTAAATTAATATACTTTACAAGCTGAATACAGACTTAATCCTCAAGTTCCTCTCCTAAGAAACAAGTTTTCCTATGACTTACTTAGTTGAAGGTTTTGGAAACTTTTGATGGTACTTTTCCATGTTATATATATATATATATATATATATATATATATATATATATATATATATATATATATATATATATATATATATATATATATTAACCATTTACTTTTTTAGAACTGTTTGGTACTTAGTAGGAACCTATTAGAACAAATAAGGACTCATGAGTCTATGTTTTGAAATTGTTGACGATTATTAGGATGATTAGCAATAAATTATGTTCTTACTGATGCTTTCCTTATCCTTATACAAGACTTAATAATGATATTCTTAATTATTTATTGTTATTACATTTATGTAAGAGAAAACTAATTTTGACAAGGAAATCATCATGCCAGTTTTATTAAATAAATTCCAATGTTACTTGTTAAATAAACTATCATGATCTCAAATATTGAAATTACTACAATCTCCACAAAACCCCTTCTGATACTAATCAACATATGCTCACTAGTGACTGACTTCAAGATGTATATCCTAGATTTCTAGTGAGAAGCAGTGACCAGTGGAGTTCAACCACGTCAGTTGTGAGATAGGAACTCACTGATAACAATGGTGTATGCGACGCTCGATTTCGTGAATTAGTTAAAGTTAGACATTAACACCGTTGGATGCCGGCTCAGTGGCCTACTGGTTAGGCTCTTGTGCGCGAGACCAGTAGGTCCTCGGTTCAAATCACGCCAGGCGGGATCGTGGATGCGCACTGCTGAGGATTCCTATACTAGAACGAAACGGCCATCCAATGCTTCCAGGTTTTCCATGCTGATCTAGCTTCAATTGATTCATGTTATCAACTATTGAATTTAATACAATCTCCACAAAACCGCTTCTGATACTAATAAAATATCATTTAAACAATTGTTAATACCACTTTTTAATTTTATAGTATAATATACTTGATTGATACAATTTGAATGAAATTATGACGTCTTAAAATTACATCAGATAGACCTTTTTATGGAGAATATTGTCGATTATGATATAACTCTGGCTTGATATTTTCATGAATATGAATTACCATTAAAATTTTTAAATATACTCTTATTAAAAGAAGTTTTCTCAATACATTATTTTGATGCGTATATGAAAAATGTATACCTTTTTTTGGAAACCTAACTTAATGGCCTAGTTACCCTTAAAACAATCCCTTTACGATATGACGAGTACATTCAACTATTTAAAATGTCTATAAATCAGAAAATAGTATAAAACTGTTTAATAGTGAGATTATAAATAATGAACGTTGGTAAATTTATCACTGTTTTAAAAGCAAGTGTATTTTGCTTAAATCAATATGGTTTCAATATAAAGTCCGCATAATAAGGACCAATTAGGTTTATTTTAAAAATACAGTGAAATACAGCAATAAATAAAAAGATTAGTTACGATAAAGAAACTCCATCTAACTGTCGAGTTACGTCCGTCTTTATCACAAATCAATATTGTTAGATAATATACAGTACTCATAAAACTATTGAATGTAACTCGAACTGCAGCGAACAAAACACGGGTGGGGACAATCGAATGTAACTAACCCAAAATTACAGAGCATTTCAATAAAATCTGAGAACCATATATTAAATCGTTAATTTGCAAAATGTCCACCAATTGTCTCGAAATGCCTCAGACTTCATTGTCCTTGCATTTTCATACAAATTGCATTCTAATCCCACTCTTGCTTTCTTGATCTCCTCCCATCTTCTGCTGCCAGACATTACATCCCTGACTCGCATTATATACTACTTATATCAATATAAGTAGCACACACCACAAAACTATTTGATATTGGATAAATAGTACTTTATACCATACAAATAAACAGATGCAATTCAGCAATGAAAAATAATTTTTACACATTTTATATAATGATACAGTGTTTTGTTTAATTTATTTGAAGAGTAAATGCAAATTACCGAGTAATTCAGCGATTTCATAAAATTTGATTAAATGATTCTTTTGCATATATCTATTTCACTATCTATATTAACTATGTTAAATGTCAACGAAACCTCTCTATTTATAATAAAATAGTACAATTAGTTTTGTAGTGAACAGAACACGGGTGGAAACAATGGAATTGTCTCACATTTCATTGTTCATGCGTTTTCTTACAAATTGCATTGTGTTACCGCTTTTCCTTTCTTGATCTTCTCCCATCTTCTGCTGCTAGATATTACTTTCTTTAACTCGCGTCATATACTACTTACATCAATACAAGTAGCATGCACCACAGTTTGACTATCAAGTTTAGTTTCATTCATAGTTTAAAAGTTATAAACCAGATCAAAATGTTAAACTTCTTTGATAATTGTGATGTTTGTTTTAAAATCGAAAAATCTTTGAATATTTTATTTTTTTTAAATTTGATGATGAATAATATCTAACCTACAAATCAATTGTTAAATAGAAAGTAGTATTACTAATGTAATTCTTGTTAATTATTTCACAGATGTACATTCCCTGGTGGTCCAGAGGAGGAGATAGATGTCTATGTTCGACGACGATGTCCTCATGGTGAATTCATGTGTAAAGATGGAACATGTCGTCCAGAAAGTGATTTTTGTAACGGTCAAGTTAATTGTCCTGATGGTTCAGATGAACGACCTCCATATTGTAGTAAGTTCAAATAAACAAATTATTGTCTTGTTATTTCAAACTGTTTAATTCTTTACAAAAAGTAACTAATGAGCTCTATCTCAAATTGACCAAAACTCAATTTTTTTTATATATTGAGATCTTACTAGCTAACAATTACAAATGGTTATTGTAAGTCATATCCTACTGCTTAAATTGTTTAGTTGCTTATTTTTCATTTGTTTATATTGAAAAGGATGCAAAGCTTATAATTCATATCTGGTTGGTCTTTGTTTTTATGTAATTTTGTTCACAAGTAAATCAGAAATAACATATAGTTGTCGCTTGTGTAAGTGCATAATGTATCCTGTAGATAATATGTGAAATTTACTATTACATTCTAAGTACTTTATTTTAGTCAAATTGATATCAATAATTTTGATGGAGTTTTGTTCTCTGAGCTGGATGGTTTGGTCATGAAGCTTTCATCGTTCTTCTGAACGACATCATCAGCACAAACTTCAGATAGAAGTGAAGTGTTCGAATTTCTCCATATGCGTTTCACAGCTTATTCTGTACAACTCGACGTTGATTGGTTCTTGTTGACCTTAAATTTGTGATTGTTTACTTCAAAATCATCCACCTGAGCTACAAATCTTCTCCACCATCTTGATATCATTAATATGATTTTCCACATTCAGTAGTTACTATGCTTTATGAAGTATTTACTATGTTCATATGAATAGAGGGTTATTTCATAAATTAGAGAAATGATATAAAATACTTCAGTTTCTGATCAAACAAGCAGAACTTCTAATTATAATTTATACTGGCTCATTTTTAACACATATGGTTATTGTAATGAAAGTTTACAACTAATCTTCTATTTATGCTCTGAGATATCTATCAATTCAGCTATTTCATATCGCGATATTTGCTACTGATCTTAACAGATATAAGTAGTATGTATCATCACTCAAAAGTGAAATGCCCAGAGGCATGAGGTTAAGAAGATTAAAGTAAAGAGAACGAGAATGAACAATGATTGGTGTGGAATCGAAAGAAAACTAAAGCTTGAGACGATTGATTAACAATTTGCAAATGAAATACTTACTGTATGTATCTCAAATTTTACTAAAATATTCTGTAATTTTGCATTCATGTACATTCGGTTATCCTCAATTGTGTTTTCGTTCACTACAATATTACTAGTCAATACTACTAGTAGTCTAGATTATTAATAACTTAAATATTGATAATTTTTTCGATAATTAATACAGTGAAATTTGGAAAACATAAAGAAATGAACTCTTTCTCATCACCTTATTACTATATTGTTTGTCTTAAATATAACACCGGTCTATTATGTTTCTTTAAAAAACTTGTTTTATATTTAAGTAATTTGTTATATCCCTATGAGAATAACGAATGGTAACTGTTGGAATCTATTTATGGACTAATACTATGTGTATATTTTTATCTTATAATTGTTAAGTAACTGAACCATTCATATTCGTGTTCCTCTTATCATAAGCTTTATTTTGAACTATGAACCATTGTTATACGATTTATCATTCTTGAGTTACACTCAGTCTGTCAGTTGCTATCTCCCATACTCACAGCCACATTTGGCTAAATCTTGTACAAATGTTATTTCCTATTTTATAATACTATGTGGTCTGTTTGTTTGGTATATAAACCCAGTATTTTTGAAACACATGATTCATATCGCAGAGGTTGAGATTGGTGTTCTGAACTTAATAGGCAGGGCTAGACGGGAAGCAGAACCAATAAGTACTCGAAACTGCCCGTACAGGTTTTATGGGTCATTGGTCCGGTCGATAATTCACTGTTCTCTTATTGTCGATATCATTACGTCATACATTAATAGGACACAGGGCACAAGTTATAACATAATTCAACTCACCTAATTATATCAAGTAATTATGTTGCCAATAAAAGAATTGTACTGTAAATTTTTAGAAAAAATTACAATAAAATCATCGAGAATATTCTTTCAATGTTTTATCATTGTAGATTTATATTTACCTCTATTAAACTACATAATATGCCTTGTGAATATATTTTTTTTCCAAATAAAAATAATTAACATATTTATTTTATATAATAGAGGAAACTATACAAGTGGAAGTTAAACCAAGCATTATTCATGTTCAACCGTATAGACGTTTTGAATTTGAATGTATTTCTTATGTTCCTGGGATAAAACCAGAAGCTCGATTACCTAGTGGTATACTTGTAAGTCAAGATCCACGTTTTAATGTGGTATATCTTTCACCAAATCATCTTCAAGTAAATGCAATATATGGTTTAACAGATAGAGATCATCCATTCCAGATTTAGTAAGTTCTAAACTGTAAACTTATTTGAATAACTTTATATATAACATAAATGGTTATTAATAATTATTTTAAATACAAGTGTAATCAACCACCATCACTTGAGAATTCATTGAATAAAGTGTTCGGTATAAAATGTTATCCTATCTTCATTTGGATATTTTTTTATCAGTCACCTATTGACAAATAGATTCTAAATTCTTTACTTCATGTCAATGGTTAAAGTTTATATTGTAGTCAAGTTAAATTATATACAAATAATCACTCTAAATCTATTGTATTCTCAGACTATTCATGATTATCTTGTATACAGTTAACGAAATAAATTTTGTTTTGATTGTAGTTGTATATTTCCTGGATTAGAAAATAGAACTGCTGTAATAGAAATTGAAAGACCTTGTCCAAGTGGACAGTTTCAATGTATGGATGGACGATGTTTACCATCTAATGTATTTTGTGATGGTAAATCGGATTGTTCAGATAGTTCAGATGAAAATGAACGATACTGTGGTAAACAAGTTCTTAGATTGTTGTTTTTTATTATTTTTTTAATCCTATTTTTACTTTAATGGTCATATTCCATAGCAAAGGTTTGATAGGTCTATGGCAAACCATGAATTAATCTTTTTGAATAGAATTTTACGAAACTTTATGTTTTCACTGTTTAAGTTTCTCGACTTCGGTGAGTTGAGTTATGGAAACCGAATACACAGCAATGAGCAAGAATTAAGCAGACAGTGACACGGATTAGCAAATTTTTTAAAGATAACAAATGCAAAATCCACTTATAAGCATAGATGGATATTGGCTAACACTGGAATCCAAGACTCGAGTTTCTTCCTATTTGGGACTCGTCAGATGGATGTACCTGCATCTCAGAGTTTATGTTCACTCTGGGATTCGAACCCAGTACCGTTCGCTTCAAACGCCATCGCGTTATCCACTTAGATACTGAATCCTGATAGCCACTTGCTTGTGCAATAGGGTGAATCTAAATTCACTTGGTATTGTTTTACTTGAATCTTCCCATTGATGTTTAGGACTGAAATTGATCAGCCTGTTATTGACATATATGCATACTGTGCGTATTGACTCGATATTGCCTTAATTAACAAGCATCTTTGCTTATTTTCAAAAATATCAGAATCCAAATACGATCAAACATGTTTTCCCGCGTGAAATCAACCTTCTCAATTCATCAAGATTTTGACTGAAATATCGAATATTAAACAGCTGAACAATTATTTAAAATTGTCTTCATATTCAGCTCAATGATTTTTCATAATTACAACACAAGAAAACTCATGTTCAGTTTATTCTGTTTTCGACTGGAAAACCGTAAAGGGGGAAATAAATTGTATTATTTAACTTTAACCAAAATGTTTAAACTTTTGAAGATAGTTAATCTTTCCATCCATTTATAATAAATCGATGCACAATGTGCATCATACTACTTGTGTCGATGACTTAATTATGTCCTCCATCAGGGCAGCTCTTGAACTCTTATGACAAGATGATATTAAAACAATAACGTCTTATAACCATCACTTGTAGGAACATGAGAATAGTCACTCAGTCAGTCAGCTACAACGTAGGACCAGGCACATATATGCATCGGTCCAGGTTGTCATACCTCGTTAGCACAGCAAGATGAACACCGGATTCATGGGAATGGTTAGGTTAAAGGTGGTAATATATAGGAGGAAGATTGCATATAGGGATACAGTACCGGAATATAGAAATTAGTTCGTAGAAAGAAAGATATGAAGCGATTTGTATCTCTTAGTTTAAGGGAAGACAGGGAGTGTATGCACCGACGCCATTGTGATCGATTCTGAGCCATGTCACCAAGAGTCTCCAACCATTGGTTACGATAGTCAATTACAGAACTTCTCCTGAGTCAGAACTCACATTCCTACACAAGATATCACCCACGACCCCCAGTTCTGATGGCCAACATTAGCGCCCTTAGACCAACTAGTTGAGATTCGGATGGCTGATTGTTTCAATTTTTTTCAGTGAGGAAATTACATCAAATGGCATCAGTGGATTATCATTTCTCACGTTTTGGGATGAAAACTACATTTAGGTTGATAGGAATCTTCACAAAATTCCTATTAATAGACTTCAAACTAACTAGCTGCATTAAAGTTTAGTGTGATCAAAAATAGATGCCTTAAAAACACTATATTGTTGATGCTAAAGCCATATACAATCTTTGTTCCGCAATGTCTTCACCAATAGTCTGGCCTACGATAAACCTATCAGGTCAAATTTTAAAGCATCTGAGAAATAGTTGTCATATTTCTTTCTACAGATTTCTTATCACTTCTTTTATTTTAGCTGTAAACATCAGAGTGACACCAGGTTCGATTCGTGTAGTCCCATATCAACGTTTCCAATTCGAATGTTCAACGTCAATCCCAGGCGTATCTCCTCAAGTAACGTTTGATGAGCGTTCAGTAGAAAGAGATAATCGTTTTGTTGTTACTCGTCCAAGTCTTCAAACTATAGTAGTGACAGCGCCAACTGGTTTATCAGAAATTGGTGCACACAAATTTAAGTAAGAAATAAATCTAATCTATTAATTATAATTTTCTAGTAAGAAAGACCATTCATTTTAAAAGGTTTATAGCGTATATTAGACATAAAATTATGGATTTCTCAAACAGCAGTAAATTCTCACCTATCAGTAGAGGTTATAGTTTGTTTAATCTATACACTAGCCTCTACATCAGTAGGCCTCAACATACACCAAGGAAAAAGCAAGATCCTCGACTGCAATACGGAGAACACCAACCCAACCATACTTGATGGCGAAACTCTAGAAGATGTGCAATCCTTCACGTACCTGGGAAGCATCATCGATAAACAAGAAGGATCGAATGTAGACGTAAAGGCGAGGATTGACAAAGTAAGGGCCTTATTCTTACAATCCAAGAACATATAGAACTTAAAACAGCTCTCAACCAATATCAAAGTGACAATCTTCAATAGAAATGTCAACACAATTCTACTATACGGAGCTGAAACTTGGATAACTATTACGACCATTATCAAAAAGGTACAAGTATTTACAAATAGTTGTTTATGCAAGATACTCAATATTCATTGGCTGGATACCATCAGCAGCAGCCTACTGTAGGGGAGAACAAACCAGCTTCCAAATGAAGAAGAAATTAAAAAACGATGTTGGAAGTAGATAGGACGTACATTTAGGAAATCGTCAAACTGCATCACGAGACAAGTGATAACTTTGAATCCTGAAGGGAAGCGGTTGGTATCCAATGTTATTAATGTTTGACTTCAATCACCTCATGATTTTGCACAACCCTTCATTTATTGTCTGTGGTGGATAACTCTTTCACACTTGACACGAACTGGACTCCACTAATCATGGTTCTTCAATAAAACTCCATGATTTACATCTTGAACCTAGTCACTAGAGAGCACACGATTATGATCGTTGATGCGCACTTCTGAGTCCCATACCAGGACGAAACGGCCATCTAGTGCTTCCAGGTTTTCAATTATGGTTTAGTTTAGATCGACACATTAATTCAACTAGTAAACTGCTACAATCTCTAATTGATAACTGAAATTTTGCCAAATTTTAGGTTCAGCAAACTAAATCAGCATATTTAATATGACCACTATAAATGTAGATTAAGAAAAGGTTTCTTTACAGAAAGAGTGATCGTTAACGGTAACTGACTCGACTAAGTGAATATTCGAATATTACTTCTATGACAATTGGAAATGTCAATCTAAAGTAAATTATTTTAGTGTTGAAACTTTAATTGATCATTTATACTCAATGGCTAGTGAAAATTTCAACATTTATAGTGATAAGCGAATTAAAATGAAATTTCACCTATTATTTAATTTTCTTAGATGTATTGTATCCGTAAATATTGTTAAAGAAGTTGATGTAGAAATCGTAAGTGAATGTCCACCTGGGCAATTAAAATGTAGATCTGGTGAATGCTTGCCAAGAGCAGTATTTTGTGATGGGAAGTATGATTGTCCAGATAGATCAGATGAAGATCCAAGATCATGTGGTAAGTTTCTCTGTTTACTGAAATAATGATATTACATCTTACTTTACAATCATTAATATTCATTCAAGCGATAGATTTGGTCGATTCTAATCACTAAAGTATGAGGTTTATCTAAACGATAGTAATAATATCCTTTTTTATAAGTTTTCTTTTTGTATGTTTATCTAAAGGAGATTATTCGTTAAAATATAATGGTTTAAGTTTGAAAAATTAGCCACATATATTCAATATGTGATCTTCTGTGACAGGCTAAGACAATATGAAATGTAGCATCGAAACAAATTATTTCACGTAACTCTTATGATGAAAACTCTAGATTGTTATGATGAGATTATCATTCGGTAAAATACTAGTATTGTGGTGTGAGCTACTTATGTTGATACAAGTAGTATATAACGTGTGTTAAAAGAACGTAATGTCTGGCAGCGGAAGATCGTGAAGATCAAGAAAGGTAGAGCGAGAACACAATGGAATTTGTAAGAAAATGCATGAACAATGGAATGGGAGACAATGGATTGGTGTTTGCAACAGAAACAGTCCAGTTTGGTTTGATGCATGAATATTTTGCAAATTGACGATTTACTATATGGTATTCAGATTTTGTTGAGATAGACTGTAATTGTTGTGCTAAATACATCTGTTTGTCCCCACCCGTGTTCTTGTTCACAACAGTATGACTGACTAAACCGTAAAGATTATTTATTCGGGAATAGTACCGTTAAATTCTAACCAATTATTTTTCACCAGAAAAACCAGTTAACAGTTATATCTAAACAAAATATCAAATACTCAGCGTGGATTAATAGTGAAAATAACTATAACAAAAGGAATTGAAAAAGCCACCGTTTCATCTATAGTACAAAAGAGTAGTGATGAAATAAACTAGTTTAATGAATAATAATACCAAACAAATGTTTGGAAAATCCGAACAAATCGAGACTGCTAGTGATATTTTGTATTGGTAACATTGAAAACAATAAATCATATTATATTCAAACATCCTAGACCCTATTCCAGGTTATTTTTGACAGGATCAATGATAAGTTGCAGTAGCTAAAAAGCACGTTGATAAGTCTGTCTAATTTAAAGCGAGCTCAATAAATTATTCCCATATTTCATCCGTCAAGCACATCCTAAACCATCTAATGTCAGAATCACTACATATCGTTTCAGTGATTAGGATTCCTGCACGAAACACACTTTAGTAACCTACGTACATAGCATTTTTTCAAATTTTCTAGATGATTCACTTATTCAAGCTACTATTATCGTTAGTCCTTTTGCATTACCTTCATCTTGTTTCAGACAGATATTAGCGTACCCTAATAATGAATATTCTCTTTGCAACTGATGGATCTATGTAACTGAGTTGAAACACTTCAAAATTATTTTTCATAATTTACAAGAAATAGCTTAATTATATGATAAATAAGGACTCTTCTTCGATATGAATAGAAATAATCATGTGTGCTTTACAAACTCTGTTTTGATTAGATTAAAGTTTGAAAATGTCAGACTTCTGAAGTAGTAGATAATTAACAATGTTGTTGAAATGAATAAAAATATTTAATATCACTGTTTAAATGCTAAGTATTTTCTTTTTATTCTCATTTTCATTTTACTGACATCAGTTCCTACAATTATTATTACTCCAACAACAATCTTAACAAGACCACATGAATCTTTCCAATTTGAATGTAAATCAGTTATGCCAGGTGGTGAACCAAAAATTACACTTGAAGGTTATCCAATTGAAAATGATCCCAGATTTACAATTGAACGTCCAAGCCGTGAACATGTTATTGTTCGAGCAGAAAATGGTATTGCTGATCCTGGAAAATATTCTTTCACGTATGAAAACATAGTATACAATTAAAAATTCATAACAATCACATTTATTACATAATGATAAAATTCCTATCCCAAAATATATTTTATTATTGTTTACCTGCATAAAGATAGAAATCAAGTACCAGTTGTGGGATTTGATAGAGCTAACTATTTCTAACTTTAAGGTGTACTTTGAAAGGAAACATTAATGTTTAATTTTGAAAAACAAGCCCTTCTTTCAGTGTATCACATCAGATATAGTCTACTTTATAAATTCATAGGTTCTATAGTTTAGCAATTAAAAAGTGTACTTATGAAGGCTTAAATTTAAGATTTCACGGTCACGTGAAAGTTTGTAAAATAGGGTATATGCAATATCACAGATTGAAATCATGAGTCGATTAAAGCTAGAACACCATGGAAAACCTGGAAACACTGGACGGCCGTTTCGTTCTAGTATGGGACTCCTCAGCAGTGCGCATCCACAATCCCGCACCCCGCGAGATTCAAACTCTGGACCTATAAGTCTCGCTCCAAGCGCTTAACCAACTAGACCACTGAGCCGGCAACCAATCCAGGAAGTTGCACCACCGTATACCATTGTCTTCAGTGAGCTGATATCTCACGGGGTGTGGGATCGTGGATGCGCACTGATGAGGAGTCCCACACTAGGACGAAATGGCCGTCCAGTGCTTCCAGGTTTTCCATAGTGATCTAGCTTCAATTGACTCATTATTTCAATCTGTGAAATTTCTAAAATCTCCACAAACCCCTTCTGGTATATGCAATATGTTTACAAAAGTTAACTACATAGCCTTCCAAATCAAAATACACTGATGGAAATAAATAAATAAAATAAAGTGAGTGGACTGCTAAGCTACCTTTTTAAAACATTTCGCTAAAACACAGTTGTCCGAAATTCCTCAACATTATTACTTAGGCGATAAGTGATTATACTGCCTCTTATTTTGTCAGAATTTGAAGATTCACTAATTTGACACCTTTTGTATTCAGTGATAACAGTTTCTTTTGTATTTATGTAAGTTTGAGTGAGTTACCTGAGACCTATCTTATATTTTAATAGAAATTCCATTTGTTGTGATATGGGGAATGTTATAATTTTTATACCATCACATTAAGCGTGTTATTCTTACCACGCTTTTCTCAAAAAAGATATTCATGGTCTAGTAATTCCCATATAGTGTAATCTACGTAAGACACAGTGTACATTTCAAATTATTATAAGAATTCAACAATAACTACTGCTTCATTAATCCAAAACAACTTTGATTTATTATAAACATATGAAACGATATGTATCTCTCATCTTATTTCATACATTCATTAGGTGATGTGATGATGTTTATGCTGTATATTCTTCATTACCTTGGTGGCATCACTGATTCTTAAATAAACTAAAGTTGATGAAGTGTGATTTCATTTGGTGACTCACTAGTTGAAAAACAAAAGCTTCGATTGCTAAAATCTAGTATTCTATAATCGTTGAAACTTAGATATGAAGTCTTTTAGTTCATTTAAATGAAATTTCTGGTTCTTATCAAACAGACTGGTTTAATAATATTTATGAAATAACAATTCTGTTAGCATATAATTCCCGATGTTCACAACGTGATCTGCTTAATGTCAAGTGTTCTTAACGTGGAAAAGATTTCATCAACATGACTTTTATTCTGTAACACTAACAGATTGGTAGAGTTTCAGACATTTTTTTTTCAATGTATAGCTGATGTAAAGTTAAAAAAAATTATAAGTAGTGTCCATAACACTAAACTATCAGTTTGAAGAAAGTAATTCACTAAAATTACCTAGATTCCTACTTAGTTTTTCTTCAGAAATCAAACTTGTTTTATTAGGCTTTTGCACTTTTGATCTGCACACTTGATATCGTGAAAGCGATTAAATTTCAGAAATAATTCCATATATATATTATTTTAAATTCAGTTGTACCGTAGTAAGTACAGCTAGTAAGACAATCGTGGTACAAGTTGAATCAGTATGTCCACCTGGTTATTCTAAGTGTAAAGATGGAATGTGTATCCCGGACAACCAGTTTTGTGATGGAATAATTCATTGTCGAGATGGCTCTGATGAAGATAAGTTACGGTGCCGTGAGTTAAACATATTTATACATTGATATTTAATTGTTAAATAAAATATTAGGGAAGCTAAATGCTATGACTAATATCATATCCACTAAAGAAAAGTTTAAAACAGCATTTTAAATAAGTTATAACGTTAGAATATATGTTATGTCACTATCCATTTTCACGATGTTAAAGAACTCAAACGAGAGCTTGAACAAACATACAAAATATTGGTTACCCTGCAAGCTACAATTTAATACGACTGAATGAATACGAAATAAGTTTATTGGAACTACAAATGAACACGTCAAGTAATAAGTCATACTACTGAAAAGCACACAAACATTTATTTATTCACAAATTTAGGTCATAACAGTTCTTCAATTGGCTGAAAATAACTAAGTTATATGAAGTAAAATTCAGTCGATCATATAAAACGTTGTGTTTCAATGATTTTTCGCTTGAATGTGGCATAAAATCTTACTTACTTACTTAGTTACGCCTATTAATCCCAATGGAGCATAAGCCGCTGACCAGCATTCTACAACCCACACTGTCCTGAACCTTCATTTCTAGTTCTATCCAATTGCTGTTCATTCTTCTCATGTCTGTCTCCATTTCTCGGCGTAATATGTTCTTTGATCTTCCTCTCATCCTTCGGCCTTGAGGGTCCCAGGTGAGGGCTTGCCTTGTGACGCAGTTGGATGCTTTCCTTAATGTGTGTCCTATCCACTCCCAAAGCTTCTTCCTGATTTCTCCCCCCGCTGGAATCTGGTTGGTTCTCTCCCACAGTAGGTTATTGCTAATAGTGTCCGGCCAATGGATCCGAAGTATTTTGAGTAGACAACTGTTAATAAACACTTGTATCTTCTGGATGATGACTTTCGTAGTTCTTCAAGTTTCCGCCGCATACAGTATAACTGTCTTGACGTTTGTATTGAAAATTCTGACTCTGGTGTTGGTTGACAGTTATTTTTAGTTCCAGATGTTCTTCAACTGTAGATACACTGCTCTTACTCTGCCGATTCGCGCCTTCATATCTGCATCAGATCCACCGTGTTCACCAATGATGCTTCTCAGGTATGTAAAGATTCTTGCATCCTCCAAACCTTCTCCGTCAAGTGTGATTTGATTGATGCCTATTGCGTTGTACCACAGAATCTTGCTCTTCCTTTTGTGTATATTGAAACCTACTGATGATGAGGCTGCTGCTACACTGGTCGTCTTTTCCTGCATTTGTTGTTGCGTGTGCGATAGAACAACCGGATCATCTGCGAAGTTTAGATCGTCCAGCTGCATCCTAACTATCCACTGTATCCCGTGCTTTCCTTCAGTTGCTGACGTCTTCGTAATCCAGTCGATCACCAGGAGAAAGAGAAAGGGTAAGAGTAAGCAACCTTGCTTGACACTGGTCTTTACTTGCAACGAGTCTGTGATCTGTCCTCCATGCACAATTTTGCAGTTTAATCCATCATAATAAAAATCAAAATTATTTCAGATTTTATTATTCGATTCTAATGTGCAAAGAAAATATGTTTTCACTCACATGAGTGGGTTTTTTTTTCATATCTTGTTAACGATAAACTATTTGAGTTAGACTGATATCATAGCATTTTCTCTTGTGTTTATTAAATTAAATTGGTGACGCAAAAATATAACAACACTCAAAACCATTCAAAAATCTAAGCACATTTTGAAATTTCCTCTCTCAGAGATTGAAGACTTCTAAAAATCCACTTGTTTTTTAATAAATTTTCTGATTTGAATATCACATAGAATAGAAATTTCATTCTACACTCAAAAATTTAAACTCACTGGATACTATTTTATACCAATTAGCTAGTAATTACTTAATCTTTATTTGTTTTTGGTAGTTGACGTATAACTGTTTGTAAAACGTTAGGAAAATACAAGTTACGAATGAATATGGAAGTTATATCATTTTAGATAGGTTGTTTATAAGGTCTTATTAGTAGTAGATTCATCGTTCCATTTTATTGTCCGTTGTTAACCCCATAATGACTAAACGATATCAACTCAGTGATTGTATAAAGCATTGCAGTTTGATAATACACTGACTCGGAAAATAATGTCACACAAGTTTTCTAAGTCATACAGGAAGAGGATAAACGCATTGAAACATTATACACATGAATAAAACATGATCAAAGTTACACGTGAGTAGTTGACAGAGACAAATTAGGTGGAAAGATAAGAATAATCCCTCTGTCCAAATGTTAGAATAAATCACGCGGGCGTGTAACAGTACTGACCACCAAAGATTTAGCAAACAGACAAGGAAAGTTACTACATTCAAATTTATCACTGAGATTACCAAGACCTATCGTCCATGTTGTAACTTAGCAACCGTTGCTAAGTTATTCGTAAAAGGCTATGACACTTCGTGCATTCAGCATCTCCTTATTACGATCTGAGAGTATCTCACTATCAAAGGCTTTTATATATTTGAATATAGTTTTCACTAACTGACAAAGAATAGTTTGTTCTCGAATAAGCAAAACCCCTGTAATAGTATGATCATTTCTTGAGAGTAGAATTAGAAGGCTAGTTCATAATAATGAATGGATTATGATGCGTTAGTCAACAGTCATCTCTATAAAATGGTGGATACTGGCTTTAACCATAAAAACTAAATGAATTTAAATGTTCTATAATAATAGTGTTACTCAAATTATTCTACCTCAATAATTTAAATATTAGTTACTAGTGGTTGTTTTGTAACTCTGTTATTAGCTGAAGTGGCTGTTGATGTACGAGTTCACTTTACTCCTGGTGAACTACGAATTCAGCCTGGTCGAGCATTCCGTTTGGAATGTGTGACGGACAAACCGGGCACATCTCCAGTTTTACAGTTTCTTGATGGGAGACCAATAACAAGTGACCCAAGATTTGTGGTTTCTAGGCCATCAACTGAACGTGCCATCATAGACGTTCCTGGAGGCCTTGATGCTAGAGACAGACAGATCATAATCGAGTAAGCTTAAATTTATTGACAATACTCATTCACATATTTTAATCATATCATTACTAATTTTTGCTACTTGTAAACTTATTGTAAATATTACTACAATTCAAGGTAAAATAGATAGTCTATTTATACGTAAATAGATAAATTGATCGGAAAAACTGAAAATAATTCAACGAATAACCACTTTTTTGAAGGACAAAACTAAAAGTAACCAGATTCATATTTCACAAATATTTCATTGCAGGTTTCTTAATTTTCTTTTTCTAAATTAAATTTAGGCATTTAATGTTCATAAAAATCTACAAATTAAATATTGTCATAGTTAAAATCACTAATCGACCAAAGCTAGACCACTATTGGAAACCTGACGGTAGTTTCATCTTAGCTATGAACTCCCCAGCAGTATTCATCCCTACTTAGGATGAGGGAATCAAACCCAAGACCTTCGGTTTCGCACATGAACCCTTAACCGCTAGACTACATATCATTAATAACCATGTGTCTACTAATTACTTGCTTCAAGATATGACTTCTGGAGTTTTATTGAGCAACCATGACTAGTGGAGTCAAGTCCGTGTCAAGTGTGAAGGAGTTATCCACCTCAGACAAAAGATGAAGGGTTGTGCAAAATCATGGGGTGATTGAAGTCAAACATTAATAACATTGGATACCGACTGAGTGATCTAAAGCGCGATACCGAAATTGCTGTGTTCGACTACGGAGTGTGAGTTTGTGGATGAACACTTTTGAGGAGTCCCATGCTAGAACAAGACGCCTGTGCGGTGCTTCTAGGTTTTAAATGGTGGTCTAGCTTAGATCAAATTGTGATTTCAACCTTGAAAATACTGCAATCTCCACAAACCCCCATACCAATGATTTAAATATTTATCGTGTACTATTGTTGTATGATCTTACTTGATTAGGAAATTAAAAGAACCTTAACCACTCTCTTATTAAGTTCTGTAACCTAGATTTTCAAGCACTTCGATGAAACAGACTATTTTTTAATGACCATTTTCTAAAATACTGGGCTTACATGATTATGTGAGTTATCTCAGCCAGTAAAAGAAAATCTGTTGATTATGTCATTTGAGTCTAACTCATTGAATAATTCGTATGTGTAACCTTCTGCTAGGTCTAAAGCTATTACAAGTTCACTTAATATGCGAACGGAACAAAGACTTGTGACCATAGACCAATAAGCTAGCTATTTGATGCGTCCCAGCCCCGCTAACTAGAGGAAGAAGTCCAAGCTTGTAACGGGAAAGTATATTCCCTAAGCCAGAAGCACGAGTGAGTAATAACATACACAAATTAAACGTATATATACAGCATAAAACTGTCCTTGGGAAGCGTAGCAAAAAGAGCATACTAAAAATACACAATGGACCAATAGCGTTAAATATTCTCCCAAGTGAGAAATACGACATGAAGGTGAAAAGTGCACTGTTGGCACGAAAACAAGGAAATTTAAATGTCCAAAATAAAATTATGAAAGTACGGCATTTACCAAGTGAGTTCTGGGGATTTAACATCCCCAACACCTTCTAAGCGGTGAACTAAACTAGGATTACAAAATTTAAATTAATACAGGAGCGAACAATAAATGAGTACTAACAGACATATAACCGAGATGTTCATTTTCCAGATCGTCGCAGGAAACAACTGTAATCGTTATCCAATTACTTAATGCAGTCTTTTACAAACTAAATTTTTTGCCAAATGGCATGTTAGTTTACATCTTTAATGTCTCCAGTGTTTTAACTTACCATATTCAATAAAAGATCTAACGGCCAAAGAAGATGAATTTAAATTTCCTTGGTATTTTGTTGAATAAATTAGCCCTACTTATGGTTCAAGTCTAACTGTAGTATATTAAAAGCAAAATAAGATTTACTATACTGTATCAAATTGAATGTTTACTCTGAAACAAGACATGCATTCTAAATGTCAATTTTGCTAATTGGTAACTTAAACTAATTCCAAGTCATTATCAGAACACGAAAGTAGATTCTCCCCAGTTGTTTACTGACTTTTTAAATTTCAGATGTGTATCTCCCAGTGGTGAAAGAAAAACATCAACCATCTTCATCGAACTAGGTTGTCAACCAGGACAAAGACGATGTCCAAGTGGGCAGTGTATATTTGTTGGTCAATTCTGTGATGGAAAACCTGACTGCGATGATGGATTTGATGAGAAACCTGAAAACTGTGGTATATTTCTCATATTCTTCATATTATATATCCTGATTACTTATTCCCGAATTTCTGCTGTCAGCAGATACTTACTTACTTTTTTACTTACGCCTGTTATCACTTATGGAGCATAGGCCGCCTACCAGGATCTTCTAACCAACCTTGTCATCAGACAATCAGTAAAAAAGCTCCCATAAGTCATAATTTGAGTCACATATGACAACTGTCAAACCTGTCTTTCAGTGTGTTTTTAAATTTTTTAAATAATAAAAGTTTAGAAAATATACGGTTTTGAGAAAATATATCAGCGCTTATTAAGTAGGGTAGAAGGAAAATAACATAGAATGGTCTAATCAGCAGAAACCATCTCCGGTTATAACCAGATAAAGGGTAACAATATAATCCTCGATAGTACTTAGATATTATTAGGTTGTAATATTAACAGAAAGTAAACAAATGCTTTTTCACCTATAACTTTTCAAAGACAAGAAACCATTTGAATAAACAATGTCAACAGACAACATATGAACTGCATCCAGATGTCGTTCTCCGCCAAGACAGATTTGCGTTATACTTTGATATCCAATCGTTATTTGTCTGACGACCGTTTGTCACAAAATCTAAATCTGTTCAAATTGACGTCTTGCTGAAAGGAATGGCATCATCTTATTATACACAACTCTGGAGTCAACGTTGAACATAAACGTTATTTACTGTGTGTATGATGAAACTTAACTTATTTTTATTATTTTGAATAGAATAGAGCTAACAGTTTTCTAATACCTATGATTACAGAGTATTGTGATCCAATAACAAAACCATGCGAAGTTGTAAATGGTAAACCACCGAAGGAAAAAACCTATGAACTACATTGGAGGTGTGATGGCGAAGATGATTGTGGAAATCGGTTTGATGAACAAAATTGTCTAAATGGTAAGTATTTGTTTGAATAATGAAACTCAGAATATACAATGTACAGAATGAGATAACACTTGTTGAATGACTTTAGTTCATTTTACAAAAAGCATGTTAGTAAAAGTTAAATTATTATTATCGAAATACCATTAATTTTTACTATGTAAATGTTTTCAGTTGGGATTTCTTAGGAAAAGATTATACGAATTTTTAAGTAGACGTTAGTGATAAAATGTTTAAACATAAATATGAAACTGCTAAAAAATGTTATAGAATTGACAATAATTAATTTGTAAAGAATCAAATATTATTTCTTCTGGTTAGCGTTTTTTTCAGCAAGTTAGTTTTCTACGGGATGGGATCGCCAACCCTCCTCCTTTATCCGGGCTTGGGACCGGCAGTAGCTCCAGGCGGAGTTCAAATATCAGATGATATTACTTATTAGTGATCGAATTGCAGTTTTACTCAAACAGCAATTTAATTTACAACTTATATGTTACTTTCAGACACTCGTGTACCAGATAAAGAGTGTGGCGCTACTCATTTCAGATGTGGTACTGAACCATATCAGTATATACCGTTTGCATACTGGTGCGATGGAGGTCGTGATTGTCGAGGTGGTGAAGATGAAGCTGATTGTTGTAAGGAAATAACATCAACTTTTTCAGTATTTTATTTGTCAGTTTACTTATTATCATCAAACGAAAGTGGTTTTGTATATAGATGTTATATTTAGAAAAGAACTAACAAAGACTAAGGTATAATTTCAGTGGTTGATATCATGAATCAATTGAAGCTAGATCACCACGGAAAACCTGGAAGCACTGGATGGCCATTTCGTCCTAGTATGGGACTCCTCAGCAGTACTCATCCACGAGCTCGCCTCACGAGATTCAAAACCAAGACCAATCAGTCTCGCGCGTGAGCGCTTAACCTCTAGACCACTGAGCCGACATCCAACGGCGTTAACGTCTAACTTCAACCAATTCACAAAGTTGCCCTACCGTCCACCATTGTCATCAGTGAGTTACTATCTCACAACAGGTTTTCCATGGTGGTCTTGCTTCAATTAACTCATGAATTCAACTATTAAATTGCTATAATATCCACAAAACTCCTCTCTACTTATATATTTGTCAAGGTATTTACAAGTAAAACTAAAGTTTAATTAAACATAAAATGATAGTTGTAAATAAAACAGAGAGCCAAAAAAATCAATATGAATTGGAGAGAACATTAAATTATCACGTCAGCCTATGTTGTAAAATGGTTTAAAAATGACACATTTTCAACTGATTAAAAAAGCTTTCAAATACTGGCTTTAAAAAAACAGTAATAGTATATCTGTGGTGTGTGTGATACTTACATTGATATAAGTAGTATATATTACGCGAGTTAAAGAACGTAATGTCTGGCAACAAAAGGTGGTGAAAGATCAACAAAGGAAGAGCGGGAACGCAATGCAATTTGTAAAAAAAAACGCATGAACAATAAAATGTAAGATAATGAATTGATGATTGCAACAGGAACAGTCCAGTTTGATATGATGGATTAATATTTCGCAAACTAACGATTTACTATTTGGTTTTTTTTATTTTATAAAGTAACTCTGTAATTTTGTGCTAAATACAATTCGATTGTCCCCACACCCGTGTTCTGTTCACTACATATCTTTTAAAATCTCTCGAAAGATTATAAATGATGCACTGCAAACTGCACTTTAGCTATAACCAACAGATAATCGATTAAAGTGTGGAAACACTTATCTATTTATGAATGAAGTATTTTATCCATAAAAGTGTTAAATACAATGTTGCAAGAATTTTATCGCTTCTATACGCAATAACTACATTTTTTGTAGTTCAAATATCCTAAATGAGTATTACATTTGTAAAACTAGTGATGAAAACTGTTTATTGGTTAATCTTCATTAACTTAATAACAGAAAGCCCTACCTAATTACAAGTATGTTTTAACCCTTTAAATAACTTTATTTCACTTATTAACGACTATTTCAACAACTTGAGTTAAGATATAAAATAGCAGTAATCCTGTGAAAACACTGAAGAAATTCATCTTCGTTACATGAAAGCACATCAAAATGTGTTCAATTCTATTTTATTCTTTATAAAACCTACGATATGCTATCAATAAATTGTTAACTATGATTGATAGTGATGACTATTGACTTGGATTGTGTATTTAAATGATTGTAAGTGCAATAATAAAACTACTGAAGGAGATTTTTGTGTATCTATAAAAGGTTTCAAAGTAAATATCACTTATTGTAGTGTTCATCATCAGCATTGTGCACGTCAATGTTTTAGCTGATACATTTTTTGTTTAAAATCATTTTTATCACATTCAAATAATAATCAAAACAGTTTATGAAATTGATTGCTAGTGTTTCAATCACCTTTCAGCCCCACCTACCATAATTCAAACTCAACGTCAAGAAACTCATAGAGTTCGTCCTGGTGGTAGACTGATTTTAGAATGTGAAGCATCCGGTGTCCCACCACCTATGATTATTTGGCGTTTCAATTGGAGATGCCTTCGTGATGAAACACGAATGAGGACCCAAGCTGTGCCAAGTTCGCTTGGATGTAAGGGTTCAAAAAGTCGTCTAACAATCGAAAACTTCAGGGAAGGTGACGATGGGATTTATAATTGTGAAGCACTGACATCGAAAGAAAGAGCTATGTCACAGGATATATTTGTTTTTCTATCTCCTTAGTTATGTTTTCATTTTCACATGTTATTATGAAATATCAAGTTGAATGAATAGTTATATTATCGTTTTATCATATATTTTTAATTTAATTCTTTGTGTCAAAATAGCAATGTTCTGAATTTCACAATAGTATATCTTTCAATCATCTTACAAACAATGTATTAATTTTGCCGTTCGAAATTCTAATTCCCAAGTTATACATTATTCTGTTATATCAAATTTCTAAATATAATGCTTATTTGAAGAGACACTAACTTTTAGTACACCATTTACATAGTTTTAAGCTCAGAGATCCAAGTTTACTTATTTACTTACTTATGCTTGTTATCAAGTGCGAGCATGGGCCATATAGTTGTTTCACATTTCCATCTTTTACGGCTTTGTCCGCTGTCGTTGCTAGATCTTCCACAAATTTCTGTTTATCAGCTCTAATGCTCATATAAGGCTTGGAACCTGTTTTCGAGAGTTACCTTGAATTCGTTGAGTTTGTTAGTATGTCGAAGCAAGGCTGTATTAAACCTTTGTAATGCTGCTTCTCCCGTAGTTCATTAGTTCCGTAGCTTCAGTTTCGTCTTGACAACTACCAGCTGGTACTGATTTGAAGCTATGTCAGGTCCTCTCCTGTTCCTCAAGTTTTCCATTGACCTTCTGAATTTTTCAGTGATACAGATGTAATCGATCTGATTCTCTGTGGTTTGATCCGATGAGACCCATATAGCTCTGTGGGGCAATTCAAAGCCATATATAACTAGTTTGTCGAATGCACCTAAATTTCTTAACCTGTCACCATTCTCATTCGTTTTTCCCAGTCATTCCATATCGTTCAATGACATCTCCATACCCGGTGTCGTCCATTCCGACTTTGGCGTTTAGATCTCCTATTAGGATTGTCAGGTCCATTTTTGAGCACTTTGCTATGATTGATTGCAACCCCTCATAGAACTGATCCCTGTCATCGTCGTTGCTATCATAAGTGGGTACATAACATTGGATAATATTCATTGTGATTCCCTTCTTCTTTGTTTTGAAGGATGCTTTGATGATTCTAGATCCGTGAGAGTCTCCTCCTATAAGTTTTACGTGGTTCTTTGTACAGCATCAGAGAAACTGCCTGAGTGTGTAGAGAATATTCCTCTCTGCAACCGGAGTACAACAGCATTTCTCCCTTACCTAACCTTTGATGTCCAGCTTTGGTTCAAGATGTTTTACTTTATTCGAATACCAAGATGTATTTCCTCATTTCCATAGCTATTTGGCTGGTCCTCCCGGTCTCCCACATTGTCCGGACATGCCATGTACCTATATTAGTTATTGCTCTAGTTGTTAGGTGCGAGGGTTGTTTTCTACGGGTTTGAGTTGCTGACACCACACCTAGTCCCCTTTACCCGGACTTGGAACCGGCAGTAACTCTAAAAATGCTACAGGCAGAATTCAGGGATTAGAAGCATCGTTGAAACATTTCCTGAAATATAATGCATATAATGTTGAATATGACCGAAACAACAGTTGAGACAGAATAATATGAATCTATTGTATTTCGTGGTTTCCGTTCAACTGCTTAAGACCATGTATGTATTAGTATGCAGCACTTAGATACGATACAATGTAAAGCAATTGACAACCATGATAGAAAGGACCAGAATGACATATATCAGTAATTACTATAGGTTTGTGTATTTGATGTGTGATAGCGAAAGCAAAATATGACTGGCCCGATATAATGTGGTCCAGTTTATGTACAGCCTTTCGAATGGGCATTGAGCCTAGTTGCAGTATGAACTCGATCCCCAGCCCTATTATCGTATTATAGTTGTGTTGAGGAGAACCAGAAAACTCCTTTAAAAAAGCCGAAAAAGGCTCTGAGAACGTTGAGAAAGAGCTTATTCAATCAGCATTCAATAGACGTTTTGCACAGACATATAGAAAGTGAAAGGTCACATGTCGTGTTTCTAACTGAATGATTACCCATACTGCTACTATGTTTAGGAACGTCCCAGAAATTTCCGAAAGCTCTAGGTCATCTAAAATACTATAGATACCTTAGATTTTCTGTACATAAACAGAACCTTTGGAGTAAAGCGTTACTTCCGTATTTCGCGCCATTTCTCTCGTGTTCAAGTCACTGTGTAGACCTAGCCTCGAGGTTAACAGAAGTGCTTAGGAATTGAATCCAGAGTTACATTCAAAGACTTATCAAGTAGTATCTTGCGAGAAAAATTTGGTCTGATAATCAATTTTCACTACCATTCTGAGAGTAATGCCATAATCTTTTGCCGCAAACGATCAACAGCATAATCAGTACAAACTTCAAGTAGAAATGACAGAATAAGCTGTGTCATACGTGGAGAAATTCAAACACTTCACTTGTACCTGAAGTTTGTGTTAATATTCTTCAGAAGAACAATGAAAGCTCTACTATCAAACCATCTAGCTCAGAAAACAAAACTTCACCTAAATTATACACCTGAGGTACAAATCACAATCTCAAAGTATCATTTTATTTCGTGAATTTTGATGACGTTTAAATTACATTATTTATTGATTTTAAGCAGTGTAGAAAAAATAGGAAGAGAAAAATATCACTTTATTTCTTTCCATAAAATTAAGCATGAAAAGAAGAAGGAACAGCAATTATGTCTGAAATAATTTTTATTCAACTTGTTGAATTATTTCATCACTGAAGGCACGTTCCATCAATTTGATATTCACAGTGATTTTTGGATGTTGTATCATAAATTCAGCTGCAACTTTGGCTTTGATTAAATATTGTATAGACTTGTAAGTAAAGAAATAAAATACACAAGACCAATAATAAATACAATAGTAGTGCGAGAAATTATGTGACAGTACTTTTTTGGTCATTTAACTTATATAGCTTTGTTTCGTCAAAAATTCAAATGCATATTTAGTAGGATTTTGAAGATATCCATTGAACATCCCAAGTTTGGATGCTTTATTAATAGTTTGACAATGAATAGAAATCATGAACCGATCAATGTTAGACCATCATTGAAGACCTGGAAGCACTATACAACCGTTTGGAATACCTTAGCATTGCCCATTCACAATCATGCAAGCTAGATTTGAACACGGAAACTTCGGTCTCGCGCGAACGCAAAATTCAACAACCTCCACAACCCAATACTGAAAATAACTATGAGCTCACTGGTGACTAGCTTTGAGAGATGATTCTCGGAGTTCTAGTGAGAAGCTGTGATCAGGGAAGTTTAACCGTATCGAGTATGAGACAGTCACTCACTGAAAACAATGGAAAATGGTTGCGGGGTCGTAAATGCGCACTGCTGAGGAGTCCCATACTAGGACCAAACGGCCGTCTAGTGCTTTTAGGTCTTGAACGGTCTAAAATTCATTGATTCATGATTTCAATAAAATCGAAAATTTCCATAACTCTATACTAAAATTTTGACATTGTTCTACTTTGTTGTTAATGTGTAGACAAGCTAACTTACATACGTCACTTCAAAGATTTAATTAACGTGTTTCAATATATCTTCATTCAAAAACAATAAAGGGTTCCAGTAGCATTATTTCTGCATACGTCAGGTATGAATATGTTACACTAACTGGTGGAAAAGTACGTTAATAAGAACTTTTATAGAATAGGTTAAAATTGGATTCTTTTTCGAAACTGTTAAATGCTTACTTCTTGCTTTCTTTCTAAAATATAGTTTAGCATTGACAAAGTCAAATACAATTGAACTTTTGGATCTGGCTTGGCTGGATTACAAGTAGTTGCATTAAGCTCATTTTCATTGATACGTTGATTATGGTATTTCTCGATTGCATACAGCATTTTTTCAGCTTCAGCTTTTTGTGAATCATCTGTTAATTATAATCAGTATATTTTGTTTATTCAAAGAAAGATACAATAATAAGATGTCTTATTAGTTGGGTACACACAAAAAAATCAATTCTAGTCTTAAATACTTACCCTACTCAAATCGCGTAGCTCTTCTAGAAATAGCTTTCAGAACTATTTAAAAGGTATGACAATTCAACTAAGAAAGAATACGAGTACTAAAATCATCAACTTAAGTTTAATGCTTTCAGTCTCTTATTTTACCTTGATCTTAAAAAATGGCATACAATTAAAACAACTTTCTAATTTCATAAGTTATTACTTCATTTTTTTCCTTATTCACTTTTGTCTAATAATTATGAAGTAGACAGTTATCATTCATGAATGATCTGTTTATAATTTACTGTTTCGGATTATCATTTAAACTATCAAGCAACTTATCTAATAAATGTAAAACATTTCCAGTTACCTTTTTACGTATTCAATATCGTTCTATTTAAATAAACTTATTTATGATATGAAACTATAAATACAATTATATCCTTTCAGTAAGTGATTTTTTTTTCGCAGTACAGTATATCTATCATTTCATGTTTAAAGGTAATCTATAACAATGTTGTACGAAAAAATATTTGCTATATTGTACTTATTAGTGAAGGATATTGGGAACCTTGAAGAATCTGATGTTTTCTAAGATATTCCAGTTATATATGATTAAGTAGTTGAAAACAACATTACGGGACTAAATAGATCACGGCTAACTACATTAAAGGACTGAAATAGGTAAATTAATCATACAGTGAGTAGTAAATAACATCATATGTAGTAGTTAACGTTGTAATTAATTTTGTTGTGAAAACAGTCACGGAGATATCACGTTAACAATAATCCTCTTTATTAGTTATTCAATAAATGAGGCAAGAAAAATGGATACTACAATATTACAAGACAAGTTGGACAATGACATTCCTTCATTATATCAATAAGTAAAACTGATAATTTACTGAGTTTCAAAATAAAAGGGGGAAAGACAGAGGAGTAACCACTATTAGATGTTCTGTACTCTACTGCTAAGTACACAGGGGAAAAATAATAATAGACTAAACATTAAATGGTAGTTTAAAGAAAACCTAATTAACATTATGTCTACTGTTTTATTTAAAACCTTTTATGGAGTTGACAGTCTTTGAGGTGATATAATACAAACTATCAAACAAACGTAGAATATAAGACAAGACATTTACCATGATTAGTAAATTCGAAGTAACTCGTGGGAATGGCAATTCATTTTTTAGGCAAAAAAAACTGCGAAGCACTATTGGTTAATAAGTTGTGGAAACATACACTGTTAATTCGTGTGAATGAGTCTCTAGAACATGTAGACTACATAATATTGTTATTTCACCCCTTAAAGTTTTGTAAAATAGTAAGTTTGTCCCGATAAAAAGTCCATTATATTATTGACTTTACTAATTTATTCTATATGACAGAATCTATAATATGACTTAATTTGTCTATTTAATAGTAAAAAAGTGGATTTGACTACTAAGACAGACAATTATGATTAACAGGTTCTCAAAGCCCAATGCAGACCAAAGGGTTTAGGCAAAATACAAGAGAACAGTAAGACAATAACGTACTTACAAAAATTGTGCACATCTTTTCCAGAGGAATGTGATTTGATGAAAATAATAGGAAAAAAATGCAGAAACATGTTGCCAGTGAAAGGTAATAAACTTCCAGATTAATTGTGGACAGATCATCAGTTCGAAATGGCAACAACAGCAACAGTTTGCGCTCTTGATGCTTTATGGCATCAGCTTAACTATAATAATACACTTTTAAGTCATTTTCGAGTAATTTCCTAGGTTCACTATGGAGTTCATTCAAAACTCAAAACCTGCATATAAAATACTGCAGAAGTAGAAAATAGCAAGTCCTCGAATTTTGTAGAAACTCTCTGCACAGTAGACCTTACAATCTGAAACACTGAACAAAAGTTAGTTTTGATATTAGAACTAAGTACGTGTGGTATTTGTACTAACTAATTATTCCTCTGTAACAGATTGTGTGCTTCTTACGAATTATAAATACGTCCAGTTGTGTTCATCTAGTTCCACATGCCTTAAATTGCACTATTTCGAGAATTTTTATTTGGCAAATCAACTTGGAATCCTGAAGGAAAACGGAAGAGGGGAGGATCAAATAACACATTGGATCGGGAACTGGAAGCAGACATCAAAAGGATGAACAGCAACGAAAAACAACCAGAATGGTTTATCTAAGACAGAGGTCGATGGAGAATGCTGGTGGGTGGCCTATGCTCCTCTATGAAGAGTAACAGGCGTAAGTAAGTAGTTAACAAATCAACCTGAATACTTCTAATGATCATAGTAAGGTACTGTTTAACATGTCATTACCTAGGGTTTGTCTAGCTTTTTGAGTAGTCTCCACCATAATAGCACCAACGTCTTCAGAGAACACAGGTTTGAATAACAAGCTTTCTACTAATTCCCTTAAGTGTCTGGCCCATATATTAACTACACGTGTATACAAATTTTCAACTACTTGAGCTTTTGATGAAGGCGGTTGAATGCAAAACTCTGAGTTTGTTGAAATACTGTTGTTTGATTTCGTTTTCCTTTCATAAATCAATGGACCGTGAGACTTATTTTGTTTATTTATTTCTGAAATTTCCGGCGTAACCGAAGGACATACAAATTCAGTTGACTTTTCTGGAAAGTTCTGATCAAGGGAACCTATGTTGCCATTGGCTTTATACATTGTATAAAACACTTCAGCCATTTGAAAATAACCACCAGCTGTGCAAATATGATCGGTGCCATATTCGAGGGATGCATAAAATATCTACAAATAAAATATAATAATGTTAAACGTAATATTGAATAATGAGTAGATAGAAAATAAAGTCATAGGACGTAAAATACGAGGAACATACCTAGTAAATCAGTGAAGTATGATTCTAGATAGTGGTTATCATGAAATGAAAACAGTTTGTTACTGTGTAGCGGTAAATAAATCCCCAAACTAAATAGCTCTGTAGGTTTTCGACATTGGATGCTGACCATATGTTTTAGTGGACTCATCTAGCTGAAGGCGCTCGGTCATGCATCCGCACCAGATCACGTGCTGTAACGCTGTGCTCAACATCAACCGCAATCACTAGCCAGATTAGATCAGAGATTCCCGATATATTGGTTATCGCCAAATACACTCTTCCGATTTCCTCGACTCTGTCTTTTGATTTCTCTCGGTGGGAACAAACTATATTAGAAGGTGTTACTGGTAGAAGCGTTGTCAAACACTGAATACCTGTATCATCCTCAACTGTTTGTAGTTCGCAAATTTTGGCGGAGTCAATGACTAGCGTTCATTGTACCATACGTTTTCTCCTACCTGGGTCCAGAATTGATAATCAACTTGATTATCAACTAATCTCATTATTTCAACTTTGACTTCCCAAAACTCGTCGCCTTAGATTAAAATGTATTTAGAGGCATACCTACACATACATTTGACAGTACTGAAATATTCAATAATTTTAAGAAAGGATAAACAGCTTAGTAGACTCACATCTTTCGCCAAACTCGCCAATGCTAGTTCATAATTACCTTTAGCAGCATATAACAAACCAAGTTTACGATGTAACTGTGATTGTATACTATTTGTGCATCCATGTTGTGCTCTAAGTACTATCCACTGAGCTTGTGCAAGGTAAGTCTCAGCTTGATTCAGTTTCCCAAGACCTAGATGGTAAAAATAGTAATCAAGCTAATACGCACATTATTTATTAATTCTCAATATCTCTCGATCATCACGTTTTGCAGTCATTATTTCTTTGAACTTACTCAAAAGACTGATCTAAAACACAACAAGTACTAGAATGTGTATAACCATTAGAAATAGACAGTTGATAAACAATTAAAACAGAAAACTAGGAACAAAAACACCTATACTATTTATGTTGAAGTGACGAAGGCGAATTTTGTAATGACTCATGTGGCTGTGTTTAGGGGAAACATTTCCCTTAGAAGTGAAACTAAAGGTTTCTACAGATATTGTTTACATTTACCAGTTCTGTAAGATATTTATATAGAAATTAGATGTAATCGTATTCTTAGAGAATGACCTTCTACTTAAAGGCCTTCAAAAAACTTGGAGTACAGATGAAAGGTCAGACGCTCTGTGGATATAAAAATCTTTATCAGATCTAAAGATCTGATTTAAAGATCTGTATCAGTGATTCTTAACTTACCAAATGTAGGTTGCTGTTTCAGAACCAGTCACCAAAAATGTTTGATTATAGAAAGTGGGATGGTTGAGTAAGGTTGTCATCCTACCTGTATGCGGAGAACCACCATTCCTGATTAGCGAAAAAATTCTGGGAGTGATAAGTCTTTTCTAGCAGTAACCAAATTTCATCACCTGTAGCCTTGCTTTGATTCCTGAAAGCTCGTCAAAGAGCAAACACAATGCTAAGTAGTAGTACGAGGTAGCATCTAAGGTTGACAGCAATTTCTTGACCCTTTCATGAAAATATAGGACGAATTTTAAAGAAGATCCAGATGTGTAACCATCTGACTGTGTTTATAGGCAAACACCGAAATGCTAGAGATTTAATAAAAAAGTGTACATTGAAAACACATTCAAGAATTTAAAGCATAATATTTTTTCATATCTTTTTGAAAAGTATTTTACCAATGGCTTAGCTACTTACCAATACATGATTCTGCAAGAACTAGATAGGGTGATACTAATTCAACACAAGCTATTCCATATGCACGCACTGCAAACCTCAAACACTGTAAAGCAGCAGGTAGGGCTTCCTCTGATTTTCCTTTAAATAAAAGCTTTCGACTCTCCAGCTGAGTGAGCCGGACCAGATCAAGCTGAATAAATTAAATAACACGAAAACTTTGAACCAGTAAACTATTTTTTGAATCTCATTCTAAATTTAGAACGACATACTTCAATATATTTGAGATACAATAGTACAATTAAGTAACTACCCACACGATTCACCGATGTATGACCTAAGGAAACTCCTAATTCCGACTACTTAAACAAACGCTTCAAACGATTTTTGAAGTAAACTACTTGAAAATAACTTTCAATGACTTACAACTATGAAGAAGTGTCATTAAAATTAAAATTTCAACGAGCCAATGGAAAGATAATTGCGGAAGTAAAGCGGAATTAAGGTTCTCTTTTGAGAACTTAGCTAGGTATTAATTGAACTTTACAAGTTATAGACTAGCCACTTACAATATATGTTTAGTAATTTGTGTTGGACTCAATTTTCCTCATTGACTGATCAATGACTGGGACGTCCCACCAAAACATGTGGCTTAATCCCGATTAGTGAACACTTGTAAGAGGAAATTGGAAAACATAACACGAGGATTAACACAAGCTAACAGACCTACTATCTTTATTATTAAAGGCTAAATGTGCAACAAAACTAATGAACTCAATATGCACCCAGTGAGTTCTGGATAGACAACTGCTATGGAATATGTACCTCATAATAATTGTCTAGTTAGAGTCATCATCATAAAAAATGATTCTAGGCTGAAATGTCATGACAACATTGTCTCAATAGGCAAGCGACCAACTGCGCACTATCTGGGTATATTGAAATATAATACTAATTATTAAAAAAACAAAGTACATTTTGTACTCGAATTCACTACCAAGATGTTTTACATTAGTACCCATGTCGCCTATCTCCATATACCACAAGTATGATAGAGGCCTCTCATCAAAAATAATTGTACATGTGCAATGTAGATGCACTTACATTTTTGTTTTGAAGTTCTTCGCTTTTCTTCTCACGCTTGTCCTTTGATACAAATCCCTTAGATTCTCGAAACGTTATTAAATCCAGACATATCTTTTTATGAATTCCTACCCAATCAATTTTTTGATGCTCTATTCCACTAGAAATATAATGCATTCATATGTTAATGGTCAAACCAATAATATGTGATCCGGCATACCCCACATTGTAAGCATGCTGGTTTAGAGCATACTTCACAGCCATGCTCTTCGCCTTTTGGGTTTGCAAGAGGATAAAGTGGAAGAGCTGCTGGGGGATTTTTCATAATTGCATGTAACGTTCAGCCTCTGATAGGTCTGCGTCTAGCCTAAAGGTATCTTGTAGGCTGGAGAAGTGTGGGGAACAGTATGTAAGAGAATTTGAAAGAGAAAGAAACAAAAGAGCAAGTGAGCTGATAAATCAGTAAGCGCAATACATTTCGAACAATCTGATCACATGTATACTTGTTAAGACATTTTTATATGAAACGCCGGAACTCCGGGGTTTATTATACAAAGAGCGACTTGAAAACCTGGACCTCTTTACTCTGTCCTATCGCAGACTGAGGGGAGATCTAATTTTGATATACAGAATACTGAAAAATAATTTCGGACCTGACTTATCATCTCTCTTTCTTTCCACTAGATCGGGACACCTCAAAGGACATAGCAGGCGAGTAGAAAAGCCAAGAACGAACAAAATACCCGTGGCATACAGGTTTTCACACCGAGTCATCAATACTTGGAACCTGCTGCCTGAAGCAGTGGTGTTCGCACCTTCAATTGACTCTTTCAAGAGAAGGCTGGACACTCACAGAAGCATACTAGGAAAGGAATAACATAGGCTATAGGCCTTTTGTCCTTACTACACAAATCTGAATCTGAAAATGTCAACTAGATGGGTTAAAGGTAAGCCGTAATGAAAAGAAATATCAAAGTACACAAAAAATGTGATTACCACTCTGGATAATAAATCAGTATCACCAGGGTGGGTTAAGTATAAGGACAAATTGTTTTTAAACGCATAAAGGGGGTTTTAATTTCCGTATAGCCAAGGCTTCGATAAACCTTAGTACACGTCCTTGAAGGTTTTAGTATAACATCACAAATGTTGACTCGATGTCAACCTTATGACCAGTCTTAATCAGTCAAGTAACACATATTACTTGTGAGTGGCCTATGCTCTATTGGGAGTAAGAGGCGTAAGCAAGTACTTAAGAACTGTTACTTCTGAGGTGACTGTAAGCACAAGACTAATACAAGTCGCTACTAGAATCAAGAGGTTTAAAGTGTAAGGTTTTGAATGCGTTACGACGTAACGCATGTAGCGGATTGTTTTTAGTCAGGATCTACTTTGTGTATTAGGGGGAGTATGGAGAATACAGTAAAGAAAGATGGAGAAAAGAACAAAAGACTCGGTGGGTCGACGATCCAGAAAGAATACAAAATGCGATAGGAAACAGTCAGCAACGATAAAGGCTACAAGTTAAAACAATTTTGAAATCAAAACTGTAAGTAGGTCACTTGACCCGCTAGAATGAACCAATTTTAAAAACCTGCCGCGGGGTGCCATAGCTACGACCTGGATACCTGCCCAGGTTCTAATTTTTACCTATTTCACCTCATTAATTATGTTTTTAATCCTATGACATGTTCAGAAGCGCACTTAAAAATTTTGCGACATTTTCTGGTTAGTGAATCTCCAAAACTAAAGGTTTTGTAATTCTCCAACAGTGACGCTGGTCCTATCTGTTTTACTGGACAAACAACAAATGAAGGAGCGTAATCACCCATCCGCACCAGACCATGAGTGAATACATTGTTCTACACATCCATTACAACTACTAGCCAGCCTAGACCAAACGATTCTCGACATATCTATAACCGGCTAAATCCATTTTCGAACTCCTTCATATCTGACTTCTTACTTGACTGCATTGTCATACTTCGATTAAAACGGCCTTTCCTTTAAAGTCGTTATCGAACTGCGGATACCTGTGGCATCTTCAATGGTGAGCCTGGTGTGACTTGGTACACAAAACGATTAATTGTGATTCTATTCATTTTCGTGACATTATGTCTTTTTTAGAGTTTTACATGTTGTGATATTACTTTCGTATTCTCTTACTCTTGTTCTTCTCGACTACCTGCATACATTCACAGTGGTGAGAAAGACACCAAAACTATTTACGTTTGACAGTCTTATATTCCTTCTCCCACCTTTCAATTTATATCACTCTGGTCTGATAATATGGAGCCCTGTTTCTGCTTCGCAGGTAGTCCACGAGCACGTCATGGTAGATGCGCGTGCGTGATCCCCCCAATGCAATGAAGGCATTTTCGCTCGAGTTTAACCACTATGTTATACCCAGTGATGTTTCCGAACCTTATGACACCTTAAAAAGCACCGTCTATAAACAGGCAGACCTAACCGACCGATAAAGTTCAGATAAGCTCTTCCACAACATAGAATTGAAACACAGTTCAGAAACAGAAATATTGCTGTGTGTGTCCAAGGTTGCTGATCAGCGAATCTTCAAAGAGGGTTTCTTTAGACTAGTCTTCCTATCTAGGTTTCCACAACGGATGCAAACGGTTCTCATCTCACTTCAAAATAACGCTGTAGGCAAATTGAGGCATCTGCCAATCGGATTCTGGGGTTCACCGTAACGTCTAACACCGATGTTTTCACTGTTAAGGAAAGGCCTCGAATGGCACGAGAATTCGTTATGAATCACTGTGATATTCTAACTCGTTATCTTCATATTCATCATAACTGAAGACTATCCGAAACTCCCCAAAGGAACTTGACGCGGAAAAGATGTGTTCTAGACCATGAGAAACAAATAATAACAATAATTGGCACTGGAACCATGACAGGTATGATAAATTTGATAGAAATTGAAAGAAACACTGCGGTATGTCCAACTCAAAACCTTTCATCACGACAAATCTTTCAGGAAACTTCACTGTAAGCACGTACTAATTGCAGTACTAGCCAGTGAAAACAGCCATCTGTTATTCATCACTAATGTGGTGATAAAAGTTCATTGTTTCACCGACACTGACGCAGAAATAAGCGTTCTTCTCATGACAACTAATGACTGACTAAAAGATCTGGTCTTCAACTTGCAAATGGCATGCGAAAAAGCGATTGCTTCATGTGGTAAAAGATATGTATATCGTAAAGTTGATTTATGATAATCTATTCATCGAAGTTTTGTTGTGACAAACATTTCTATGCCAATCACTTGTATACACCTGTCACAACTCTATGATTTACGGATGGACACAAATAAATGTAGGCTAGTGTGTGGAGATACATAATTATATGTTTGTGGAACTGTATTTCGTAGTTGTAGGTCATGCCCGATTGCGGTCAAACATATAATACACACTCACTTTCAACAGACGCTCGACAAAAGTCACGAACTTTACAAAACTCAACAAAAACTATTATGCGTAGACGGCAATCACACACACCACATCCTGAATATAGTACCGACTGTATTTGTCAAAACGTCAACTGGCAACCGAGAAACTTTGACTGGCTAAAGCTGAATTCGAGCACATGATAGACTCGGAAATTATTCAGTCGTCAAACAGCCTATGAGCATCTTCTGTGCACATAGTTCTTAAAGAGGACTTCAATAATTAGCATCTAACCATTAGTTATCGTCAACTTAATATGAAGATCACCCTTGTTTGTTACTCTTTGCCGCACACCCGCAGTCTGACAGCTGCCTTGAAAGTTTAGAACAAATAGGGTGATTAGTTAAAAGTTGATCTCAAACATTTCCCTAGATTTCACCACTAATACTATGTGAACGTTGGATAGAGACATCAGATAAATCCCTTACGAACACTTGCTATAAACACACACAATGAATCTTTTCAATAACGGCGAGTTTCGAAAGCATTCCGGACGATTTTACTATTTTTCTGGATAATTTATTGTGATTTCGTACTTCTTAACTTATATATATATATATATATATATATATATATATATATATATATCACGTAGACTGGCCGTTAACATTTAATAATTTTTCTAAGAATAATTTATTCTCAAATAACAGTTTGTTACTTGAGGCATGCCAGTTTACAGGCAAGATCAAATTGTTACAAAAGATTTAATTTTCACTGTAGTAAATTACTCACTTGGGTTGGTATTTTGTAGGATATGAATGTAGATGGATTAAGTAAGACCTATATTGTCAATATCACAGTTGACGCGCTTTACGGAGGTTGCGTTGTGACGCGCAACCGATGGTCATCAATAGATCCATGTGAAGATGAGGGACTCTAGATACCCCAACCTTATATCCCTCCGGAATATCTGAGGCTTTTATGATGGTGCACTGCAAAGTCACCCGTTCCATATCTCTTTCCGGTGGCATATCTCTCGGAGGCTGAAAGAGAATGTAAGAAAAAGAAAGGATGAGAGCAGAGCAGACAATATTCACGGGGAATACTTAAGGTATGACTACATAGTCTAATTTTCTTTTTCGTATGAACGACTCCTAAAGCCGTTTTTGGTATAATATATATTTAGCAGCCTTATACGACCAATACAACCACTGTAAAGTGGTTGTTAGTCGAAGCATTTTAGGTCAAACGATGGCCAAATACTTGTAATCGGTTCTCATTGTCATTTTTACATGCTTATGAAGGTTACACAACTCCGCCTGGGACCTCTCCGAGGGCTACTGCCGATCCCAAGCCCGGATAAAGGAGGAGGGTTGGGTATGGTGTTAGCGATCCCATCTCGTAGAAAACGAACTCGCAAAAAAACGCAATCAGATAAATCAGTTTCACTTGCATCACCCAATTTTTTTTACCTTATTTTCAATTTCTGATGTTTCTGAACGAACGATCTTGATGGTGTTCTGTACCGTCGAAAATCTTAAACATATAAAACAACACTACCTATCTTATTTTTTGTAGCTAATCCTTAAATCAAAACCAAAAGTAGCTATCCATAAATGGTATCTTGCCAGTGCTTTGTTACGACTTGACAATCACGTAATATGGTCGATTTAAGCAATTAAACTAAGATCTAAATAAGTCGATGACCTGACTGATAACTATCTACACAAACAGTGTTGTTTTCCCACGGTTATTTTTATACTAAACCTTCATGCCATTATCATAGAAATAGGTTTGGAGTTATACCATACTTGGTTAAGGCTTATGCTTTTTCTGCTAAGCACATGGTTCGCACTTCATCGATTTAAGAACGCTTAATTAACTGGAGATATCGTACAGCACATTACCTGTAAAGTAGTAATTTCAAATACCTAATTTAAAACTCATTTTATCGGAATATCATGTTTTCGACATGACTTTCATGGCTAATATATGTTAGACCAATTATTGTCAGTTACCCATACAAAATTCTGGAACCTACTACTATTGTAATGTTTTAAAAAATAAAACTTATACAAATAATAGTTCATTTATTTTGTTTCTGTTGTCGTATGACTGAAACCTACCACATATGTGATTTCTCTATTAGACTATTATTAGTATGAGCAGAATACATTTGTATTGTTTATACTTTAAGCAGCTAACTACCAGCTAATGCAACGTTTAGAAGTAGCTTGTTAGGACAATTTTGTATACTTGTCCGCTCTTTTATTGAGTCTTTACTCATATCTGAGTAAGTCACAGTCAGCGAACGTAGTATGTATGCTATTTCCGTAAACGAAAAATATCGCCCCATATGCACTCGAACAACAGCCTCCCCGAGTGCTAGACCACATCCTTCACCAATAAACTGCAGTGGTAAATAAATCCCCGAAATCAATAGCTCTGTAGGTCGTCGAGATTTCATGCTGATCGCAATAATTTTAGTGAACTCTGTCATGCATCCACACTAGATCACAAGTGAGTACGTCGTGTCTCACTTCTATTACAAACGCTAGCGTGGTAAAATTACTTATTCCTATATATATATATATATATATATATATATATATATATATATATATATATATATATATATATATATATATATATATATATATATATAGCCTATCCAATATATCTAGGAACCTCTTCATTTCTGACTACATATTTGACTTGGTTGGCACGTTTCGATTGTAGATAGCGTTACTGACTAAAACGTTGTCAAACCCCGAATACTAAGTGCATTTTTAGTGGTAAGCCCGATGTAATCCCATACATTTATTCATCAACAGTGAGTCCGTTCCTTTTTGAAACATTATATATCATTTTTTACTTTAATTTATATATCTTGTGATATTTTCTCGTGATTGTGGGTTTTTTTGTTCATTGCTAAACACTTTGTTCCACAAACAGTCCCAAAAATGTACGAACAACCTACAGTCATCAGGAATCGCACTCTTAGTTTGCGAAGCTGCAAAAGGGCACCATTGTTATTATTATTATTATTATTATTATTCACAAACATCTTATGAGTAAATAAGTGTTGTGAAGAAATCATTTCGGGTTTCTTCAGAAATGCAATAATACACAAGTTTCAATTATGTTAGCATTATATTTGCAATATATGAAAAAGAGA